TTCAAAATTGTGTCATCGCGTAATGACTGTTCTCCCTAACTTGTATGAGTATCGAACCCTTTCAGTTACCTTCAGTGAGTAAGTAATACGTTCAAAACCTCAAGTCAGCTGACGCACTGCGGTTTCGCTGCGTCCGCGCCGAAATAGCGGTGAGAAACGAGCACAAGGCTGATACTGAATCCTGGAATTGTCCGAGCTGAATCAGGCTCGAAGGACCATTTGATCATCTTGTTTATGGGCTGAATCGACGGAGTTATGAGCTGTTCAATTAAGTAATATTTGAGTCATAATCGAACTTGCAAAATCGTAAGTTACGTTGGATTTGTTTTTGTTACAAAATGATGAAATACCTGATACAGAAGGCAAAATGTGCACATCAAAACAAAGTAAAATAAAAATGAAATGATTTGATTATTATTAGTAGTAAAGTGCCGAAACAGTTTGTAGAACACATTAGAGTAATTTTATTTGGTTTTCAACACCGTTTTTGACTTGACTGTATGCCCAATTTTAGAACACACAAATCATTCACTTACTTATTTGAATTTTTTTATGACACTTAATTCCTCATCCGGTATCAACCACCTACATTTTTCGACACCATCTGTTCGTAGGAGGGCAGAAACAGGCAAAACATTGATTTAGGTTAGTCAATGGTAAACTGTGGGTGTTGTGGGCGATCGGTCAAGAACGATCAGAGATCGAAGTCCTTCTGTGATCATTCATGATCCCATGTTTAAATTCTTTTAAATTACAAATTTTAAGTAGGTAAATCATTTAATTTATAAGGTCATTCATTGATTCCTATGCTTAGATCACGAAATTAAATATTTTTCTGTGATTACATTAGGGCATGCAAACCGGTTAACCGGATAACCGAAAAACCGGATAACCGACACAATTTGGAACTCGGTTTTTGTCAGTTATAAAACCGGGTTTTTCGGTTATTTCGGTTTTTCTTCTACGAGTTTAGATAATTTAATAACTCATACAAGAACATGCTTCTTTAGTCATATCAATAAAAACAATTATTGTAATGCAATGTGAATGAGTAGAGTATAGTCTATGACTATGGTATTGAACTAAAGTACCATGTATCTTCTAGCTAAAGCTACACTTGCGAGCAAAAGTATGGAATCACTTACATGAAGTTGTTTCCACGCGATCTTGTGTACTAACCAATTTGTTAGTAACAAAAAAAGTAGCACCATTTTAAAGATTAAACTTTTAACTTTAAATTGATACCAAATTCATTTAAATCACACCAGTATTTAAAAAGATATCCCGGCTGATGTGAAGAAGTAAGGAAAAAGACATGTATCAACTGTTTGATACGTCGCGAGTTGCGGCCTATTTACCCCCCATAAAAGCAAGTGTTTTCGGATTTTTGCTTTCATACGTTGATCCATACACATCTCCGCTTCTTTTGACACTTTACCTGGGATTGTACACCTTCAGAAGCAGCACAAATCGTTGCACTATTGCAAGAAGGGCTCAGCCAGCGGGCTGTCGCACGTCAGCTCCACATAAGCCAGTCCTGGGTTTCGAAAGTTTTAAGACGCTTTCGGGAGACTTGTGGCTTTATCCCGAGACCAAGTTCTGAACATTGCCGGTGCACATCGCAGAGGGAAAACAGTTTTTTCATGTCAACTTCTCTACGAAATCGTCATTTGCCTGGTATCGACGTCCAGCAAGAGCTCAGAAATGTTCGTAGGATAGCTGGTAGCAAGTGGACAGTTCGTCTAAGATATAAACAATAGAATTTGACTCCAAAAAGGCCTGCCAGAGGCTTGAAATTGACGGCAGGTCACCGATAAGCAGGAAGGTGCTGGATGCAGGCCGCTACCAAGCGGTCATTATGAAATCATTGGGGTACAGGCCTATGTTCAGCAGTGGACGTCCTATGGCTGAAATGATGATGATGATGATGATAAAATGTTGCTTTATTAAAATTCCTACGCTAAAAATTATCAATTTGTATTTAATGCCACTATGCAGTCCTAGTTTAACTTTACGAGAAAAACTCATTTTTGCAGTTTTCATACTAGTTGCTATTCAAGTAGCCATAAGATAAAAATAACACAGAATACATAGGCTTGTGATATCTTTTTAGAATCTCAATTAACCAAGAAAGTTTTTAAGGTAATGGGCACGATGGTCTTCCTACATTTTTTTTACACGACGGCTGATCAAAAGTGCAAGACAATGAATTAATTTTTCCTTCTCCTCTGCAATTTCTTAAAATTTTCATACTTTTAAACTAGTTTGTCGAACTTTAATATTTTCTTTTGATAGCCCAACTATCCCTTGTGATAAGGAAAAAAACTAGATTGAAAAGTATCCTCATTTGTAGAAATGGCATGAGAAAAAGTAATCGCAGGTGGCAATTTTCTAAAAATGCACAAAAACTTAAAAATCTTGAAAACGGTGATATTTTTACTGGGGTCAAAATTGGACGTTAGGGAGACCATGGCGAGGCCTATCGATGGTTACAGGGTTATCCATTGTTTTTGGGACACCCTGTATNCACCTTCAGAAGCAGCACAAATCGTTGCACTATTGCAAGAAGGGCTCAGCCAGCGGGCTGTCGCACGTCAGCTCCACATAAGCCAGTCCTGGGTTTCGAAAGTTTTAAGACGCTTTCGGGAGACTTGTGGCTTTATCCCGAGACCAAGTTCTGAACATTGCCGGTGCACATCGCAGAGGGAAAACAGTTTTTTCATGTCAACTTCTCTACGAAATCGTCATTTGCCTGGTATCGACGTCCAGCAAGAGCTCAGAAATGTTCGTAGGATAGCTGGTAGCAAGTGGACAGTTCGTCTAAGATATAAACAATAGAATTTGACTCCAAAAAGGCCTGCCAGAGGCTTGAAATTGACGGCAGGTCACCGATAAGCAGGAAGGTGCTGGATGCAGGCCGCTACCAAGCGGTCATTATGAAATCATTGGGGTACAGGCCTATGTTCAGCAGTGGACGTCCTATGGCTGAAATGATGATGATGATGATGATAAAATGTTGCTTTATTAAAATTCCTACGCTAAAAATTATCAATTTGTATTTAATGCCACTATGCAGTCCTAGTTTAACTTTACGAGAAAAACTCATTTTTGCAGTTTTCATACTAGTTGCTATTCAAGTAGCCATAAGATAAAAATAACACAGAATACATAGGCTTGTGATATCTTTTTAGAATCTCAATTAACCAAGAAAGTTTTTAAGGTAATGGGCACGATGGTCTTCCTACATTTTTTTTACACGACGGCTGATCAAAAGTGCAAGACAATGAATTAATTTTTCCTTCTCCTCTGCAATTTCTTAAAATTTTCATACTTTTAAACTAGTTTGTCGAACTTTAATATTTTCTTTTGATAGCCCAACTATCCCTTGTGATAAGGAAAAAAACTAGATTGAAAAGTATCCTCATTTGTAGAAATGGCATGAGAAAAAGTAATCGCAGGTGGCAATTTTCTAAAAATGCACAAAAACTTAAAAATCTTGAAAACGGTGGTATTTTTACTGGGGTCAAAATTGGACGTTAGGGAGACCATGGCGAGGCCTATCGATGGTTACAGGGTTATCCATTGTTTTTGGGACACCCTGTATTACTTAATTAAGCATAACTACGACCAAATGTTCTTCTTCTTTTTTGATGATGTTGGCAATACACGTCGAGGTCGACTTGATTTGTGCCATTTTCCAGTATATAAGTGATACGAGTTACAAAATGAGATCAAGTAATGATATAATGAAGGATGATAGATGATACCCTTTCCCTTTGAGTCTCAGTAAAGTTGTGGTGCTTTACTGAGACCTCCTATGGACAACTTGAGAGAACCAGAAGAATCACGATGCACTGTTTTGCTTCACTTGTCCACACCCATGGACGTTCACGAACACTCAATGGTTAATAATCCACCATTATTACACATTAATAGTAGCCCACACACGAATTTGAGGAAATAAAACAAAATCTTGTCAAACTAGAATATAAAAGAAATAAAATGATTTTTATTATAATTTGCAGCATTTTTATTTACTTACAAACAGTCGCCCCAAAAAACCCGAAAAAAACGGTTTAGTTCGGTTTTTAAAAATAAAAACCGAAAAAACCGGTTTTTCTAAACCGCTCGGTTTTTGCATGCCCTAGATTACATACGCCTACTTTCGTGGCGCGAGGATTAGTGGTTGAGAAAGGTAGAAATGAACTCCGTCGATTCAGAGGTTCTGTGTTCGATGCCTAGATGACATGGGATACAAAAAAACCTTGTTGAATTTGTTTCCAACTTGTTTATAATATTTCTGCGAAACGTATCGCGCTCAAAACTTAAATATGGTCTGTGTGGCATGTGACCTCAGTATTTCAGTGACCTTACAATTTGCCGATTACATTATGTCATCGGACATATTTGGCGAAGTGACTGTAATTGCAATTTGCATGAATATCAATAATTTACCGAGTACTCTCGTACTTGAATTTAATTTTCAACAACAGGTGTTTTATTATGGTTCTATATGGCAACAAAAATGTATGTAGGTACATCTCTACGTAGGTTTGTGACTTAGAAAACATAAGGGAAATAGACACTTTTTAGGCAATCGCTATTAATAAGTATCTAGAAATTCATCATTCAAATGGCGTTGCAAATCATCAATGTTTTGCAACGCCAGATAAATGAATTTAACCTGTTTTGTAACTGTAAGCCGTTTACGATCATAACTTAGAAAGTTGTTATAATATAATAACGTCCGATAACTCTACAGTGTACAATACCGTACTTTCGAGGTAAGTAGCCGGTTAATATGGTAGCCTGGGATACTAAGTTCGCAACTGCATCCTACATCCAATCTGCTACCATATCTGTGAGTAACGGCTTTGACTTTATAAGGCCAAACGACCTAACTCAAAGCTAAATCTAGTATTTTCTGTCATAAAAATCTGTCCTTCAAGGTCGCGAAATACAATAAGTGTTTACTTTAATTTAATAAAATTAAAACTTACTGCGTTCAATAATCCTTCAGTAAATTGCAAACACACACAAATATCACTAACAAAACACACTTTTATTTCATTATTTTATAACACCACTAATTTTTTTCAGTATTTTTATTTGTTTTTCGAGTTTCGATTCGTGCACGGCAAAAGTTACGTTTGCGCGCGGTCTGTCTTGGCTTGGCGCGCACTTGTTCTGCGCAGCGCGGGAAAACTAAACGGAAATATCGTATGTCGAGGACACCGACGAGAAAGAGCTAGTTGTCTCTTTCACACTATAACGAAGTTGAGTAATCTGAGTGAGAAGGCAAGTTTACTTTTGTAATTTCTACTGAACAGAAACAAAAAGTGATTCATTATTTTCTGAATAAACGTTGTTTCATTCATTTTTGCTGGTAAACATAAACCTTGGGACTGGCCTCGAAATACAATATTAATAAATAATGCTATTATAGCTAATTAATTCAAGTAATGTATAATTACAAAAATAAGGCAATACGTTTACCTAACCTAAGAGGAGGAAAATATAGTTTTTTTCATTTTTTCAGTCCCGTTTCTTTCGCCTAATTTAATTTTGTTTTTTTTTTCAAAATTGAAAGGGAATTAATACAGTAAGATCATTATAGATGACACTACTAGATGTTAGAAGGGTTCGCACTTCGCTTGCGAGTTAAGTTTACTAAACCTTGCGATAGCATGTTAAAATCTCTTGCTTTAGTTTAAAGTCTAATGTCTAGATGGCGCTAAATCAACAAACCAGTTTTGGTCTTCGAAATGTTTACCACATTAAAATCTTTACTCGGTTTATTAAAAGTACATATTAATTGAATTTTTAGACAGTAATTCAGGTAATGAACGCAATACAGCATAATAAAGGCGCAAGACATAAATCCTTGAAAGTTGATTCAGTGGTTCCCAAACTGTGTTATAACTTCAAGTGTTTGGTGAAGAGGGCGCTAGGTACCACACCATCCATTCTAAAACACAAGATGACCTACTAGGCCAGTAGAATTAAACACAAAAATGAATTAAATCGGAAATAATTCCTACTGAAGATTTTAGTGTTTTAATGGCTTCATTAGTTGCCCATAAAGATTCTCCTAGGTTTTCGACTTCGACGGAGTTGTGCTTAAGTGGTGGGGGCCCTCGAAAGGGGCGCTTTTTCGGTTTTACGGTTATACCGCGTAAAGGACTTACCCTATCGAAAAGTGGTCTTCCTGACGGTTGAAGGGCATTTAATCCTGCATTAAATAAGACCAAATTCATATGTTTTGGACAAACCGTTCTCGTGCAAATGTTCGGCAAAGTAGAAAATATGTGTATAATTAATCACCCTCTCCACGTCCAATGGCTCGTTACCCGCAGGCTTCCAAGTCTTGAAAAGGAGCGCCTCAACCAGTGTAACCCTATCAAGGCTTATGAGCTGGATGCGCCTATCCTTGTTCGTCCCAGCCGTTTCTTAACTGCGGTTGCTGCACCTCTTCCTGGCACTCACCTGAACGACTCTGTGTTACCTACTGTGGCTGCCCCTCTTCCTTGTATCCTCCTGCACGACTACGTTGCCTAGCAGTATGCCTGGTCTAAGGTTCAACGCCAAAAATCAAAAACAACAAGTTCATATTAAAACGCTGAAGAGTTTTTTGTTTGTTTGTTTGAACACGCTAATCTCAAGAATTACTAGTTTGATTGAAATAATTATTTTTGTGTTGAATAGCTCATAAATTGAGGAAGGCTATAGGATATAATAATATACAATCACTCTACGACCAATAGAGGCGAAACAGTAAAGAAAAATGTTGCAAGCACGGAAAATAGTATTTAAACTATTTTCACGCGTACGAAGTTGATTTTGTGGCGTCGAACCTTGGACCAGGCATATGGCTAAGCAATGCAATCGTACAGGAGGGTGCAAGGAAGAGGGGCAGCCATATTAGGTAACACAGAGTCGTTCAGGAGAGTGCCAGGAAGAGGTGCAGCAACCGCAGTTAAGGAACGGCTGGGACGAACAAGGATAAGCGAATCCAACTCGTGAGCCTTGACAGGGATACGCTGGTTAAGGCGACCCTTTACAAGGCTTGGGAGCCTACGGGTGACGAGCTATTGGACGTGGAGAGGGTAATTAATTATACACATATTTTCTACTTTGCCGAACATTTGCACGAGAACGGTTTGTCCAAAACATATGAATTTGGTCTTATTTAATGCAGGATTAAATGCCCTTCAACCGTCAGGAAGACCACTTTTCGATAGGGTAAGTCCTTTACGCGGTATAACCGGAAAACCGAAAAAGCGCCCCTTTCGGGGGCCCCCACCACTTAAGCACAACTCCGTCGAAGTCGAAAACCTAGGAGAGTCTTATTAATGGGCAACCAATGAAGCCATTAAAGCAATAAAATCTTTTGTAGGAATTATTTCCGATTTAAAATCTAATTCTACTGGACTATACATCTTTCAGAAATAAAAAAGGTCTCTCTCCTACCCCTTCTTTCCTACTGATCTAAGTTCACTCTGATCGCATGGTCTTATTTGAAATAATTTACCTAACGGTAAAAAGAATAACTATAAAAGTAGATATTATTTTTAGGCGGAGTTGCACCTAAGGTTGCACCACCTAACTTTAACCGTAACTATAATGATAACCAGTGTTTTTTTAATGGAATTAGGACTCATTTTTCAAATTCAAATGGCTATTAATTTGACCTACCTATCTACTTTCCAGCACGGTTTCAGCTTTTCGCGGTCGCGTGCGAGCAAAATATATATTTTTTATGGCTGCATAGGAAGGTAGGTCCCCAGGCAGGATGCGTGCGTGACTTCGTGCCAGCCAATCCTCTGTTTCCTGGAATTTTATTCAGCATTTTGCTAAAATTTGAATACAGGGTTAACCCTCGCACGTAAGTGAAGGAGTCAAGCAAGGGACATTCGATTATGAGCAAAAAGCAGGTTGCAAGTAGAATTTAATTATATTGTATTAAACTAAGTATGTATACTAATCCAGCTAGGTACATGACCAACTCTAGAAATTCAAAGAATAAGGCAACTAAGCTTTTTCTATAATATTTTTAATTGTAAAGTTTATTTAATTTTATTAAATATTATTTGGTAAACAAATAATTTTCATTTGTAATTACACAATAAATAATCACACAAATAATAGGACAGAAATTAGCAGTTATTAATGTTTTTACAAAAATCCTGTAAAACTTACAAAAAGAAAGGCGTAAGGTATAAATATTAATATGGCTCATCCATCATTGCTATTTATTATGAGGCAATCACTCGCGCAGTCGAGCTTATTAATTTTAAATGAATCAACCCTTGTTACTGGAAATTATTAAAATACCTAAGTAGGTACCTACCCACCTACCCTACCTATATCTCTTTTCTCTAAGTAACTTAATAATGTAAGCGTGGAATTTGGAAGTGGCTTGCTGATCAATACGTAATACCTGGCACCTGGATACATAACAATGGTAATATTGCAACGAGCGCTATGCAGTTTCATAAAAAAAAGTTTAAGTACCGCTGCAGTCTTCCATAAAAGGCAATCCTTCGTGCCGGGCGCCGGCCATCGTTTCTACACGTGCTTATGTGTGCGTGCACGGCGGTCTTTATGAATTTTCAGATGAATCAAAGGATATTTTAAGTCCTAGCGATGAAATTACATTATCATTTTGACAAAATCACACAAAAACTACTTTTGCTATACATTTTTAGTCATTGAATTGTTAAAATTTGAATAAGCAATTCCAGACGGCCTCACCCCAGAATTGTGTATGTGTGCGATTGTCTCCTCCGTCCGACAAGTAACGATTTTTAGTGATGTAGTAAAGTAGTTTCGATGTGTCGATAATTTAAAGTAACCGACTAGAGAAAGAATCATTTATTACTGGTTATAAATATTGTACTCGTATAGGATTATGTCGCTCGTTATCTTTGTACAACGCTGAGATTTTATTAACTCATTAAATTAAATCAAACACGGTGCTCTGTTTGATGCTAAACCCGATATTGTAACGGTAATTCGTTTAACGAAAATTGAAATAACGATGTTCCAGTCAGGTGAATAAAAAGATAAAATAACATTAAATAGTGGGTGATAGTTAACAAGTCAATGAAAAAATTAGGTCATAGTCTAGCTATTCCAGTTATTATTAATACCTTGGAAGAATATATTCGTTTTCCATGTAGTTCATATTATTATTTATTTTATAAGAATTGGAATCTTATTTCTGTTTATAATCTGCTTTTATTTTTATTTCATCAGTTAGTAATCTAATCTATTATTGATTAATGGTGTTTTAGTAATAAGTAAAATAACCAGCTAAATATGAAGAAGCGCGCCTAGATCTGCAAAAAAGGTGGGAAATTGAAATAAAATGCGTTCTTCTACAGTTCACAATGGTCTCGTGGTGGCTCTAACACTGGATATAATAATTATCTCTATTATGTGAACAGTTGATTTCGCAATTTTGTATACCCATTCTTTTAATAGGATACATCATACAAGAATGCGTGGTAAATTCAGAGAACTGCTCCTGAATCAATACTGTACCTACTACTGCCATTTCTATTTATTTATATTATATTAACCGGCAGACAGTGCTGCAGTGGTGTCTGAGTTTGTTGCGCGGCGCTTCTTCTCAGCACTTGCCAAAAATGTTGATCTCGAAGCGCTGGTAGGGTAAATGATTATGAGACATGTAGAGGCTCCTTTAGAGCAAAAAATATTTGACGATTTTTAATTGTAAGTACTATTTATTAGTCTATTACAAATAAATAAATTTTGACTTTGACTTTGATTCCGTCCACATTTTTACAAATAAATTGAATTATGATTTGATCAGTCATTATACCTTCTATCAATCAACGTTTTATAGAATATAAATACCTATTACTTCTTAAAATTCAACTATTGAAAAATATGCCCCTCAACTGTGTCAGATTCAAACGTGTAAAAGGGCTCATTAAAAGCCTTTTTCCAGAAAATACATTATGTTGTAAGGACGGGACGAGGCTAATTAAAGATGTTACTCGTATTGAATATGATTTATTACTGATCTCTCAAATATTAGATACATTGCTTTATATATTGTCTTACTACTACGTCACATGCCCTTCCAAAAGGAAAAAAAAATGTTTAGTTATAAACACATTTTTTTTTTATATAATACGTCATATAAAATTCATTAAAATAAAATTGAATACACATTTTACTTTAAAAATAACAATAGACAGCTGCGCAGCCTTGAAGAGTAACCTAGTATTAGACAGTCAATAGTAATTAACTACCATTACATAGTCATACTTTATAAAGTNTAAATTCCTTTCCAGTTCTCAAAACAAATCCCAGCATACGATAAGCCTTGGCCGATATAGCATCCAAATGGCAACAAAAGGACATCTTAGCATCGAGGTAAACACCCAAATCCCTCACTTCATTCACGCGCTTGATTATATTGTCGTTCACTGAGTAATCAAAAACGATGGGACTTTTCTTCCGCGTGAAAGTAATGACATTGCATTTCTTAATATTCAGGTTAAGACAATTGCTTAAACAATACCGAGACAAAGCTTCAAGATCATTTTGTAAAAGCAAGCAATCAGTTATAGATTTAACTCTCCTAAAGATTTTCATATCATCAGCATATATTAATACGTTACTATTGCTAAAAATATGAACGATGTCATTTATAAATACGTTGAACAGTAATGGACCGAGATGAGAACCCTGTGGCACTCCCGAGGAGACCGGCACAAATGATGACACATGACCCTTGACAGTAACAGCCTGAGATCGATCACGTAAATATGAGGTGATCCAACGAAGAAGGTCACCGTGTATACCGACTAAACCAAGCTTACGGATTAAAATAGGGTGTGAGATTTTATCAAATGCCTTAGAATAGTCGGTATACACGACATCCACCTGAAATCCCTGATCCATTGACTTTGCAACGAAATGAACCAACTCGCAAAGGTTCGACTCAGTAGACCTCTTGTTAATAAACCCATGCTGCTGGTCGGCGAGGATGGGCCTCAGACTCGGAAATATGGCGTCATAAATAATTTTCTCAAACAATTTGGCAATTGTACATAATTTTGAGATTGGCCTATAATGACGAATAATTAACGAGAAAATTGATACGAAAAATTTGATGTCCACCATTTTTTTGATGGCCACCATTTCTTTTAACAAGTTAGAAAGTTGACACTGACACAGATAATACATACCATACAGATATTTTTTAAGTCTGTTTTTTATGGCATGCACACTTGTGCATTTGCCAATGCCAATACTTTCCTAAAATCTAAAAGTATTGACTGGGTAATGAAATCGAAATTCTATTCAGTCCGTCAGACAGATAATAAAAATATTTTGGAGACATTTTTTTTTCATAATCTAATAATTACAGTATTGTATTGAGTTGAAATGTCGCGTGACGTCACTTTTGAGTAAAAAATCTACTCAAGCGTGACGTAACGCGCCAATTCAACTCGAAGTAGGACTGTTATTATTTAATTATGAAAGAAAATAAAAAATATGAGTTTAAAGGCACTGGGTCTCTATCAGAAGGAACTCTAGGGGTGGAATCTCCATTGGCGTGGGTTAACGGGCAGGAGATAATATCTTGGATGGTTGACAATCACTTTTCCTACAATTTAACGTTCCACCAAACTCAACACGCTTTCAAAGATAACCTCTCAGCCGCCTGCTCACACTTGACATGACACAACTGATTGACAGTTATCTTCTTCTGCGCATCAGTCGGGTGTTACGTTTAGGAATCACAAACCTTCTGCTCTACAGATTTCGACAGATAACATAATATTAAGATTGGTACTCTTAATCATCAATAATAATTTGCAGCATCTGTGTCCGGCGCCGACAAGTTTAATATTTTCTAATATCTGTCTGACGGACAAATAATTGAAAATTTGTCATTTAGCCTTTAAAAGTATTGATTTATAGTAGTGCCAAGTGCTCTCCAGAGCCCCGATTACGGTAACTTTTAATGTCTACAATCCAGACGCGTTTCTGATTCTGCAATACGATTGGTCAAAACAGCTGACGTACGCTGTTGAACGACCAATCGTATCGCAGAATCGAGAAGCGTGTCTGGATTGTTGACGTTAAAAATTACCGTAATCGGGGCTCTGTATAGGTCTACCAGAATCTCATGGCAAACAAAAATATTGGAAAAGTGTGGCTTTCATAAGGAAATTGTCTATGGCTTTATTGTCACCTGTCAAAACCACAGATCACTATATATGTAGCAAGGTCAAAACAAATTACGAGATTTGTCAACCACTGCAGAAATTTTGTGAATCTTCATGATTATTTGTTATTTTTATGAAAATACAAAAAAAAAACTCAAGCGAGTTATATTGTTTTCAATGTGTATTGTAAAATATGGCGTAATTTAAACTCAATCTTTGATTTTAAAGCACGTCGTTGAGTTGACAGGTAAGTCGGACTGAAATGTTAAGATTACATTTAGTTTATTACCCGACTGCGTCAGAAAGAGGGTTATGTTTATTTTTAAGTATTTTTCTTTCTTAATAGCTGCTTTATTGAGGTTTACCTACAGGTGAATCTCACAAATTGGTGCAAAGGAATGGTGAAAATGTTGTAACCATGTAAAGAAACTTGATAAGATTTCATCAAGCAAAATCATTATTTTTCGTATCAATTTTCTCGTTAATTATTCGTCGCATTTGGTTTATCATAATATATTTGTGAGGTACATTTGAGGTACTAAATAATGGTAAATATAAGAAAACCATAACTTACCTGTTTCGTCCAATTTCAGCATACACCCGCCAACCTGATATCAGGTTGGCGGCTCATTTTGTAATTTAAATTGTTCCCGTATTAGGGAAGTACAAAATTAATAACTAAAGGTACATAAAGGTACACCTCAGGTATTAAAAATTCATATTTATATTATTCATTTCTGTGACCATACACCCGCCATTCTGACGTTCACAAAACTGCTACTTTTGAAAGGATATACCAGATATACTCTCAAGAACTGCAGACTAACTGCATTAGGATATTTAGCACATACATTCAAACACTAATTCCAAAAGAAAATAAAACGTAATGGTACACGTAAAAAACTATTTACAGACTGCCACACAAATATTACTGAACCGATTTTGATAAAACTGATTTTGTGTTTTCTTATTTTATTTATCAATCAATCAAAAATAATTTATTCAGGTAAGACGACTAGTGGCATTTATTAGACGACATTGGACTTAGCTAATCTGTAAATCACAACTTAGTGGTGTTGAATAGACCACCCCACCACTTGCTGACCTACCTACGTAGAAAACGCGTATAGAGAGGACCATGGAATCCTGGCCCAGGATAGAGGAAGTTACTCGTTTAGTTGAGAGGACGCCTTATCTCTCACAGTGCCTCTGTTAGCCTAAAGACTAGACACCCACACCATCCTACGTGTAATTTTATGTCCTCGACGACTGACGTAACTCCTTTTGTAGTAATGAGCTCAAGATCGGCTAGTGGGCTGACATCACCTTTTACTACAGGCCTTATTTGGTCACTGTGTCATATTAGTCGCATGACATCAGTCTTTCGATTTAAGTAGGCGCCGAGTTAATATGGACTGGTATGATAACTGTCGCAGACATTGATCGTGTTGTTTTCCTCACAACGACTCGTTTATTCATAGGACCTTAATGAGATGATTTTAGTTATTATTCATGGCATAAGTAGCTGTGAATAAATTAACCATTTTTTTGTTTGAAGATGAATTATAAATGCTGTAAAAGTTCGAGAAAAAACTACTATAGTTAATCATATTATTATAATACCTATACCTACTAAAGGACATCATCCATTTTGGTCCAAAATCAAAAGTGCCGGCCAAAAAATAAAAGTGCTGTATTCTGATAGAATAGGTACGTCCGCCTTGGCATTTATTACTATGGCACCAAAGCTGTAGCACCACTGTGCATCGTAGTATTTGAGTTCTAAAAATATATGAAACGACTGACTTTGATCTCAAATACTACGACGCACAGTGGTGCTACAGCTTTGGTGTCATAGTAACAAATGCTAAGGCGGACGTATTCTGTCAGAATACAGCACTTTTTTTTTATTGGCTGACATTTTTGATTTTGAACAAAAAATGTATGAATCGTCGATGAATTTTAGATCTCAAATACTCGACGCACAGTGGTGCTACAGCTTTGGTGCCATAGTAACAAATGCTAAGGCGGACGTATTCTGTCAGAATACAGCACTTTTTTTTTATTGGCCGACACTTTTGATTTTGAACAAAAAATGTATGAATAGTCGATGACTTTTAGATCTCAAATACTCGACGCACAGTGGAGCTACGGCTTTGGTGCCATAGTAACAAATGCTAAGGCAGACGTATTCTGTCAGTATACAGCACTTTTTTTTGTTGGCCGGCACTTTTGATTTTGGACCAAAAATATATGAAACGTGGATGATGTCCTTTTATTAGTTAGCTTCATTTGATCAATAAATTAACGAATGCTAGCACCATTTTAATTAACTCATGATATCATACGGCATTGTCTACCAGTTAACCTTTGGGGCTATGCAGACAAAACTTGTTCGTACCTATTTAAAGAATAATAAAATTACTACTAATAGTCCGCCAATTCCAATAGACATATTATGCATGTATTTAAACGCCCAGGCGTAAAACTGTCTACAATGTATATTAGTAATTATTTTAGCTAAATAAATACATTAGAAATTAAGTTGTGCAAAATAAATACTGAACGAATAAGTAGATGGGAGCTTTAGCTAACTCTGTCATTTTTTCTATAAAATAAAGTTAAGAGTGCATTCTTGTCTAGAACAATCGTAAGTAAAAAGAGACTAAAAGTATTTAGTTAACTGTGAAACTTGGTCGTTTTTTGGTCTCGAGGCTATTTTCTACCTCGTCTCCCCCAGTGCGAGACGAATGTCCTTAATCTTCAGAGATGGAGGAAGTCGCTCGGGAGTGCATTCTAATTCTGGAGCAGTGTGGCGCATTTCCAATCGCTTATACGCATCAGCAATCTGAGATACATGTTATTTACTTTGTATTCATTTGCGCAGTTTTTTAACAAAAGATGCAACTACCTGCGCTTGCCATGTGTAAAAAAAACCCCGACCCAAAAACCTTTAAAAGTTAAAAATTGTTATCAGTGGCTAGATTTTTTATAGACATGGTGCTTTATAGAATTTTGAGTAGGTACTGTAACGTGTTCAAATAAACTGTATCAAAATCTGTTCAGCCAAGTTACAATGCTTTTATTATTTAGAAAGGAATCTTGAGTTCTTGACAGATCACGTCGTAAAATGTAGATATTTCAAGATAAGCCAGAAAGTTCACTATTTCTGTTTCAGTACATTAACACCCTTACGTACAAACGTGGGCATAGCAACACGGTTAAATCTAGGTTTTATAAATACGCAGCCGCAGCCCGCAGGTCGCTGAACCGAGCGTTAAAAACAGCGCATGTTGTCTCGCTAACTCGGCGTCGATCGATACCACAGCGCACAGATTTTATTAGTTCAATATTCTCGGTCCAGTGAACTCCAGAGGCCGTTCATTCGCTAGGAACAGGCCAATGATTTTATTTAGTAGTTATCAATCTATACAGGGTGTAGAAAATAGAGCTTCCAGCTACGTACACATGACGTACGTACACGCATATGAGAAATCTTAGAAGTGCTTTTTTTAAGCCTATTTACAGAAATAAATGAGTTTTAATGAGTCTTATAATGAAACAGCATTCCGCCTCGTAGATATATTATGTAACGAAAGGTAATTAGAAGAAAGGTAAGGTAGGTACACTGTGTGCCAACTTTATCGTATGCAAGGCTTTAAATCGTGGAAAGAAACAGGCGCGGATCCACCGTTGTGGGCACTGTGGGCATGCCCACAACCCTAATTTGCTTGTTTTAATTATGATCTATTGATAAGATCGATAGGCATGTATGTATGTCCGGGCATGTATTGATCCAACTCTCACTTTGCTATTTTTGGTGGCTGTGCCCACAACCATTTTTGAGGGCTGGAACTGCGCCTGGAAAGAAAGAAATAAGCTTGGCGGCTTGACTTAATGCAAAACCATTGGCCAGAATTTTTTATAACCTTTAATGTTAGAGAAATCATTAAAACCAGTCGTTATGATACAAATTCTTTATTTATTCATCAACAACACAACTTCAAATATAATACAGTCAGATTTTTGTCGGGGAAAATCGGCGAAAGCCACAAATTGCTGCCTAAAATAGAAGAGTGGATTCCCCATAACTTTTGGCTGACAACATCCACACAATCAGCACTTTCATTATACAAAACTAAAATTCATTCATTTAAATACATCATTAAGTTACTTTGATAGATTTTTTAACGATAAGAGTCGCATCTCAAACTAAATTTTTAAATAACTTGAAAGACATTTTTTAAATTATATTACTTAAAAAAATATATTAGCAGTTCCTTTGTTACGCCAAAACCATCATGAATTAATTTTGATTTCAAAATCAAAGTCATGGAATGCATAATAGCACTTCATTTAAATAACAATATAATTAAAATATTAACAATTAAACAAACAATTCAGTTGTGTGAATGTTGAACAGGGTTTTAAAGAAATTTACGTATATTTAAACAATAATATTGTAACAAGAAAAAGATATAATATCTTACTTTTTCGGTTAACATTCCTTTTGTGGAAGATTGTACAACTTTGTATTAGATCTCCAGTACAAGAATGTTAACAAATAAATTAAAAATATTATTATTTGCACACTGTTAACTTGTAATTATATTACATTGTGATTAATGTCGTATTTAGTCGCTAAACTAATAGAAAAACGTAATTTTCAATACAAATGGAAGCTTATAATAATTAATATATTAAAGTATTTATCTTGATTGATCCCTGACAAATATAAACACTGCAAAAGTATAAAATGTTTGACCACCACAGAGAAAATAAAAGTTATCCAAAAGCTAGTTTTTATCAGGGATCAAAAATCAGTAAGTAAAGCTAAATTATGGCTACTATAAACATTGCACATTTCTGTAATGCGTTTAATATTCAATAAAATTATCTGTAACTATTTTATGATAAGCTAAGAATATAAAAATGCTTTGTAAATGGCTGTGACTCGGAAAAATAAGTTATTTGATACGATTTGAGTTTCTGACGTAAGTGAAAAGTGTAGCCAGCACTTTATAAAATAATTCGAAGATGATTGTTTAATAAAACACGTCTTAATTTTTGCCTACAAATGAACCAATTATATTTCTTCCGAGTGTTTACAAAGCACTTTTATACATATTTATGTAAGAAAAATCTTATTCAAAGTTATTGCAAAACATTTATAAAATTACCGGTAACAACGTCTACTAGCACTCACTCTGTTCGATACAAAACCGCTACGCCTTTGCAACGCTAAATTTTATATTCTACCTACTCTTTATTTGTCAAACACGCTAATGCATTCAAATTCGTTATTTCAATATCTTATAATAACTAATTTTATTTATTAGTGAAATTGGCGCGTCTATTAGTGAATTTTGTTTTCGTGTAGCTATCACCAATCTTGGTATGCAACAGACAACTAAAAGTGAAGATGGATTTTGTAGTAAATTAGGTAATGTATAAAAGTGTGATACATGAAATTTCTACGACTTTAATATTCGTATTGTATGGATTGAACTTAATATCCACCTTTCGTTTGCTTAAAATTTAAGGGAGTTCTGCAGGGTTCTACTGTAGGTCACATCTGTTTTTTACTCAAATTACTGTTACCATCTTCAGTTCTAGTGTGTCTGCACAATTTTAATTAGAGAGTGAGCATCGTCTTATTATAAATACCTATTTAGAATTTACCTATGTGAAGATACAGCTATTACTTGCTTTGAATTAATCGAGCTATGTTTAAGGCCAAATTGGTATTACATTGTATTTTTAATAATTTGGAGCAGCAATTTGAAACAATGTTATCATACAACTCATCCAAGACCAATAACAATACAAAATAATACGTAGTCAAGTCTGTTTAGATATGAGATTTCTTATTTAGAATAGCTATTTAGTAAAAAAAGAAATTACCGCTTCTATATACAAATAAAAAATCAATAATCTATGTTTTTTTCTATAAAAAGGAATGAGTTTAGCTAGCGTTGACTTGTATATAATATATTTGATCTTTCACATAAACAATATAACTAAATAAAAGATAAATATGATCACTTTACATTGGTGGGTATTTTATAGAATAACAGTATGACCCCACAGTCATAAATATTTCAAAAGTATGATTTAAAAACTATACTGTTTATGTCAATGATCATGATCTACTTGTACCAGGGGAACAAAAACTATCAATCACATTTTCATAAATAAATCGACTTCTTGGTAATAAAATATTTAAACTACGTTAAATTGGGAACATTTGAGTCATGTTAATGGGACTTATTTCTATATGCTGCCGTTTTGAGCGTATATTTTATCCTGTTTTTCAGCCTTGAGGACAAAAATAGCATCGAATTCAACGTAAAACAATAATAATGCATTGTAGACAGCGTCCAATGATTACGCAATATATGTGTTTAGTAGTTTCATGTTCCCCTAGTGGTAATAATATTTATTATTTAGTATTTAATATAATATATCTGTCACATAGACAGCAACCTCATAACGCTCTGCCGATGTCATGTCATAGCTCTGACAGTCCTGTGAACAATAATTTGAATATAATTTAAAGTTCAAACGACTGTGAAAATGCGCGTACGCATTTTTGCGTGTATAAAACTGTGCGCTCACAAACGTCAGGGGATTGTGTGTGTAAAAGATAGTAGGTCTAACAGTAGATGTAAAGTAACATAGTGGAATTTTTAAGGCATCATCATCATCATCGGTTCACTTATTATTTACTGTAGGTGCAGGATTCTCTCTAATATACCAGAGGCATAATATAGAGAACCGTTAAAATCAAGTGGCAATGGGCTGGGTACATAGTAGGCAGAACTGACGGCCGATGGGGCAGCAAGGTTCTGGAGTGGAGGCCACATGCCGGAAAACGCAATGCAACGCGTGCAATGTCCACCCACAAGGTGGACCGACGACATCATAAAGGTAGCAGGAAGGCGCTGGATGCTGGCCGCTACCAACCGTGCGATGTGGAAGTCATTGGGGGAGGTCTATGTTCAGTAGTGGACGTCCTGGGGCTGAAATGATGATGGGGACTCACCGGGGCGTATGTTGAGGGCGCTAGGGCGGGGAGTGCAGCAGGGCGGGCGTGTGTTGAGGACGGTATGGTGGGGACTCACCGGGGCGTTAGAGGCGCGTGCTCTATATGTGTATGGTGTAGAGCACGCGGCGCTAGGGCGGCGAGTGTTGAGGACGGTGTGTGGTGGGGACTCACCGGGGCGTATGTTGAGGATGGTATGGCGGGGACTCACCGGGGCGTTAGAGGCGCGTGCTCTATATGTGTATGGTGTAGAGCACGCGGCGCTAGGGCGGCTGCAGTAGGGCGGCGAACTGCAGCAGGGCGGCCCTCAGGGCGGTGTGTGGCGGGGACTCACCGGGGCGTTAGAGGCGCGTGCTCTATATGTGTATGGTGTAGAGCACGCGGCGCTAGGGCGGCTGCAGTAGGGCGGCGAACTGCAGCAGGGCGGCCCTCAGGGCGGTGTGTGGCGGGGACTCACCGGGGCGTTAGAGGCGCGTGCTCTATATGTGTATGGTGTAGAGCACGCGGCGCTAGGGCGGCGAGTGTTGAGGCCGGTGTGTGGCGGGGACTCACCGGGGCGTATGTTGAGGATGGTATGGTGGGGACTCACCGGGGCGTTAGAGGCGCGTGCTCTATATGTGTATGGTGTAGAGCACGCGGCGCTAGGGCGGCGCGGGCGGCGCCAGTAGGGCGGCGAACTGAAGCAGGGCGGCCCTCAGGGCGGCGCCCGCCCCAACGGCGCGCGCGCTCGCTGCTAGACGCACTAGGGATGGGTATAGTCCTGGTGGAGAACAGAAGCATTAGTGGACGGACGATAATCGTGCCTTTAGACCAGTGGTTCTTAACCGGTGGTCCGCGGACCACTGGTGGTCCCTGGAGGCATTCCAAGTGGTCTACGAAGTCATCGTAATAAACAAGTGATGTGACGTGATGAGTCGAGTCAACACAACGCAAACGGCACACAGTGGGCAAGAAATCGATCTCCCCTTTCATAGGATTTTGAAAAAAAAAAGTGGTCCCTGACAAGACAGAAATTTGGTATAATGGTCCCACATGACTTAAAGGTTAAGAACCACTGCTTTAGACAGTGTAATAAGGCTGCATTTACACTAAGAAAAAGCTGAGACGACAATCGTTCTTTAGGCAATGTAATAAGGCGGAAAAAGTGGATGAAATAATTTTCATTCATGCGGTGATTTGGACATTTCAAACCCAGAGCGCATAATGCATGTGTATATGTGATAGCTAGCTCCACTCCACCCAGTATTGCCTCAGAGTATGTTATACAAAATTTTCGCGTGTGGACACACTATCATGACAGTCAGTAATTAACAATGCTGAGGAATTGAAATGACTACTTATAGTGTTAAGGATAATCGTGACTCAAAGTATAGATTTTAGAGTACATGCCTGCCTATATTTTAAACAGGCTTTCTAGAAGTCAGTTTTTCACTAGACATTTTAGTATCCCATCAAAATGATGCTAAAATATGGTATTAAACTAAACTGAGTGAAATAGACAAACTATACCTATTAGTTTCTGCCACGCCAGCGCGTCGACCTTCCCGGGAGGCGCTTTCTTCATGGACTCAGTCAGCGTGGCCACTGCTTTAAGCACGAACGATATCTCCGACAGTTGGTGCCTGTATACATAAGACAGATAGAATATACTTTATTGTACAGTCAAAAAAATACATAAAAGAATAAGAAATCGAAACGGCATAATACATATTTACGCTACTCGGTTACGTCATGTGCGGAAATAAACCGCTCCCGCTAGATTTTACCTCGCGGTGGTTTGTTATGTTTTTGTTGTTAACGATTCGATTTTAAGGCAATTTATAACGTAGTTAAATAAATATTTTTTGCTACGCTCAGTTTTTATTATTATTTTAGTATTTAATCAATTTTATATAGTTCTTCAATAAATAAAATTTATTGCCAAAATTAGTTGTTTGTTTGAAAGTCTGACATCTTTATTTTGTTCCAATTTCTTTTTAATTCCTGTCCTTGACATTAGTATATGGGCCATTTACAGGGAATTTATAAGGTAGTCCTCCTCACTCACCTGGGCAGAGGTTCTGTGTTGTCCTCATCCACCGTGTACCTTGATATGACTTCCTGGAAGCGATCTAACAGCGCCACGATGGCCAGGGGGTCTGTTTCACCTGACACCATAAATACAAAGTTTGTGAATCCGTGTTATCCAGGACACACGAATGATTTTAAACTTTAGGTCGTAAAGACAAGGTTTCAAATCAAGTGGTTCGTAACCTGATAGCTAGGAGAAAAAAGACCTAAATCTATTTGGATGATTATGTAGTACTTGATTTTGTATTGTTGTACAATCGAAATCAAATAAATAAATGGAAATAAATCACACATTATGGCACATCACACCGGCATATCAAAGTCAAAAATATGTATCTTCATTTGTTTCGCGGATTAATTAAATGAGTAATAATTAATTGACATATCTGTCAATGTCATGTCAAAATCCACCAATCATGCAGCATTTGGACCTCCCGTCTACGTATTGCCATCTGGCGGATTTTTCAATCGCGAAAACCCTCATTGAAACGTGCACAATGTCTACATGTCTCATTTTTATACCCTCACAGCGTTTAATTTTGACAAATGCTGAAAAGAAGCGCCACAAAAACAGTCGCCATTGTCTGCCACTGTGTTAAGAAATGAACCATCTCATGTAGGTAATAGGTATTATTTTGCGAGAAAATGTACAGAACAGTGTTCAAGGACTTACTTTCAACCTCCAAGGAGTCGATGTCCTCGAGCATGGAAAACTGCAGCAGAGTCTCGAAGCACGTCCGCGCGAATTCTTCCCTCTCTCGGAGTTCTTGCTCGTTTTCTACATTAAAAAAGGCAATTAGTATTCGCCATTTATTGATTTAAACACAAATTGCGTTACATCATATTAAATTATAAAAATAAGGAAATATTTGTATGTTTACAACGAATGAACTTAAAAAAGTCATTAATTAAGTGGCAGGGGGCGGAGCACACAGTCCTTAGAACTGAAGGCCGTTGGGATACGTGGGACACTATTTAAGTTGTGAGCCTAACTATGAAAACAAAGTAGTATATTATTAAAATAGAATTGATTGCATTTATTGGTATTGTCTTTCATGATTTATGCAGTTTTTAATGTGTCCGAAACACTTTTCATAGCATTTTTTCCACTCAGCTTGAGGCACGTCCAAAGCATGGTTTTTGACCGCACCGATAGTTGCTTTCTGGCTACATAAATCGCTGTTCACGCATTTCATTTTAATATAATGGGTACCAAAAGAAGTGTTTAGATTCCAAGCAAGAATTTTGTAGCGTTGGACCTGTTTATTTCATATTTTGAGTGTTCAAATAGTCAGTTGTTTGACGAGACGTGTAAAAGCTCACATTTTCGTCACGAATGGCGATTCGACTATGCTGGCCAGTTTCCCTTATTAAACTGAAGACTTTTGGAAAAAAAGTGGCTGTTTACTATTAATAATTAACCATTCTAAATTTCTCTAGTAACGTTTCTGTCATATAATCGGATATTTCGGAAAAATAGGCGACCGTAAGTTTCAAAGTGTTCCGAGCGCATGGGACTTTCGTTGGAATTGGTTCATCTTAAAACACCTCCATAGTCGATAGCTGTTTATTTTCAGGATCATTATGCATAGATCCTTAATTCGTCAACTGTCACAATTTTAAAAACGGCTTTTAAAGCTTTTTAAACGTATTTATCAAACATTTCCAAGGACTAAACGACACAAGCGTCCTATTGAGCGTTTGAAAAATTTTGTGACATCCAGCGAGAAAAAAACGTATTAACCATAATATGGTCATACAATATTTTATTACTGCTAGTGGAATTAATGCCTAGGATTATCTCAATCCTACGATATATCACATGACGAGGTTTCTCTTCCATTTTTCTGACAACATCAATGTTTTCCGCCACTATTAGTCATTTTGGACGACTTTCGCAAAGTTCACTGGTGAGCCAATGACATACAATATTATACTTCTTAAACTAGCGTTTTACAATAGTAAAGGACAGAATCTTTATCACCAAAAGTGAAATTTGGCTGACCGCTTCATTTTTGTATTGATTAACCACGTCGAAAGTCATAATAAATCTTCGCGCGAAAATTTCCGCAAGTCAATTCCATGTTTTTGTAGTCAAGATAATTTTCAATTCAATGTTAATAATACAAAACGTGCTTAAATGATAAAAAGTTTTGAATAAGGTTGTAGTCAAAAATGTCAAACTTTTCATTAAAAGTATCAGATGTCGTCTAACAACACGTTATGTTGTCGAGGCTCACAACTTAAATAGTGCCCTAGTATAAAGTCTTGAGTGGTGACCACTGATCGTAGAATGTAATGTAGATTGGCCTGCCACTAGGTGGATCTACGATCTGGTAAAGGTCGCACAGGACCTGTCATTGGAAATGGAGGCCTTTGTCCAGCAGTGAACAAGTGAAACTAGGTTGAAACGAAAGTTTGAAACTATGAAAAATGTTAATAATGTGGTGTAGTAAGGCCTCAGCCTCGAGTTTAGCGGGCAGCGGAGCGGGAGCGGCGGCGGCGCGGGAGCGGGGCGGGCAACGCAGACCCGTTCTCGAAACAAGCGGGCAGCTCGCGCGGCGCTTTAGCGGCCAAGTGTTGTGTTCGGGGTTGTGTTGTCGAGATATTAGTTTTTATTTTCAAACGAAATGTCTGAACAACGGCGACAATTTTATTTCGATTCAAATTTATTCCTAACGCTCGATTTATTGTGGGCAAAAGAAGGAGTGCGCTGCCCGCTCGTTGCCCGCTCCCGCGCCGCTGTTTTCGAGAACCGGTCTATTTGATTTTACGCATAAGATCCTGCCGCTCCCGCGCCGCTACCGCCGCCGCCCCGCTGCCCGCTAAATTCGAGGCTGAGGCCTAATAGGTCTGCTGGTGCCTCACTCCGTTCCGATCTATAGGCAGCCTAAGTGTGGATAGTATATGGAGTTTGCTGATCGATACTCACGGGTGGGCGCAGCGGGCATGGCGTGCGCGCTGCCGGCTCGCACGAGCGCGAGCACGCGGCGAACGTGCGGCGCCGGCGCGCCTCGCCTCAACACCGCTTCGCGAACAAGTGCTACTAGTTCACGCGCCGCTCGGGTGCCACCCACGCTAAGAAATACAGAAGAAGATAAAGAATGTTTACACAATATACACTGGTTAAATAAGAAAATTGCTGTAGGCTGATAAAAACTGCTCCATTTATTGTCCCCAAGCAGTGGTAGGGTTAATACTGGGACGTGTAAAAGTGCTTTTTAAAAGCCTATTTGTTAAAATAAATGCGTTTTTTTTTAGTTTTTTAATAAAAAATTAATTCAAAGCAGCCAGGGTGGGCTCGCTCTAATGCCGGCTCAGTAGATTAGAACGCCGGCTTAGATCACGTCCGGTGAGCAGGCTTGGGAATTTAGCAACACGCAAAACCTCTTTAAAAAATTATGACATCGCGATTTAACTCGAGATAACGCCATCTATGAGTGACAATTTTGAACTAATGTTCTAAGGCCTGCCATAACGCAAGGTGCAGTAAATTTTTACCTTAAAATGAAACAGAAAAAGAACAGTTTTCCACCAAGGCGGCAAAACGAAAAGACACGAGACACGTTATACGGAAAAAAGAAATAAATACGCTTGATACTCACGGCGCTTCAAACATGAACGTCTCTAGAACTGGCGGTAGGGTCTCCCAGAACTCTAAGTACGCATCGGGCTCCTCTCTCGCTAGCGGTAACGCGGTGGCTAATACCTGTTCAATAATAAATTACACATTATTCTTTAGGAATACACAAGATAGATATGAATAACTTAACGTTTGAACTGGATATATAATTTTTGTGACTTTAATTGGTGGTAAATTGATATTTAGCTGCTTGAAAATCGGTCCAAGGAGTCAAGATCGGGGTTTAAAGATGTGTGAGTGTTGCATGCACATTACTTTTAAGATTTTTTTATTCTATTTTGTTTTCAATGATTTTATAACGTACTTGTAACAGCAAACTTGCGATCTGCATCGCCTCATCCGTCTGTTCTGAGCTCCGCCGACGCTTGTCTGAGCTGCAGTTCCTCACTGATTTGTGCAACGCCTGCAAAGAACATTACGAATCAGATGCTATCGTGGATTTAGGAAGCGGAATAGAAATATTTTTACCAATTTGTAATGGAACGCAAATAAATAGGCATAAAATGTTCACGTTGTACGAGTGGAGGGTGCCCTCCTCGAGAGACGCTTACTTTTTGTGGTTTATTTTGTAAATGCCAAGGACAAACTCACTTCAGGATCAAGTGACATCATTGCCAATAACATAGATAGCAGTACGGTTAGGCCCTTCTTTCCTACTGGGCACGTGCCTATGGCTCCGCGATCGAGGGACCCTTGATCTTTAAATGCCCAGAGATTCCAGTACCTTAAAGAGGGGCATGAGCATGGATGCGTCGTAGCATGGAGGGCGGAGGGAGGATGTTCTCCCCTTTATATTACTAATTCGGGCGACTGAGAAACTTATAGCAGGCGCTGCAGCTGGGCGAAGGCGCGGCGCGGGCGCAGCCTCGCCAGTGACGTCACCAAGGGATCACCTGTAACAGCCTGCGCGGCTGGGCGGCGGCGCGGCGCAGAGGGAGCAACCTATAAGAGACGCAGCAGCTACGCTCGGTTGGACGGGGACGCAACGCGGGGAGTGGGGAGGTGGGGACGTGTGAAGGGGCTACCTGTAATAACCATGTGCTGTGCTAGCTACCTGTAACAGTCGTGGCAGCATGGCGCGGCTGGGCGGCGGCGCGGCGCGGTAGAGCGCGGCGGCGGCGGCCAGGCAGCGCGCGGTGGCTGGCGGCTCGCGAGCGCACGCCTCGCCCAGTGACGTCAGCGCTATAAACATGGCCGGCAGCAGCTCGTGGCGGACCAGCGCCTCCTGGGAAGGACATTATTGAGTTAGAAAAAAAGCAGGCAGCATATAAGATCCTTTCATGATTATCTTTCTTCTTTCTTTCTTTCTTTTCTTTCTTTTCAGCCAAATGACGTCCACTGCTGGACAAAGGCCTCCCCCAAGGTTTTCCACAATGAACGGTCCTGCGCTGCCCGCATCCAGGCTCTTCCCGCGACCTTTACCAGATCGTCGGTCCACCTAGTAGGAGGCCTGCCCACGCTACGTCTTCCAGCCCGTGATTATCATGATTATCATCACAGGACATCCACTGCTGAACATAGGCTTCAGCCCAATGATTTCCACATCGCTCACTGACAGTCAGGTAAGAATAAAGTAAGTAGCACATAGGTCCTTTCGTCATCATCATTTCAGTCACAGAACGTCCACTGCTGAACATAGGTCTCCCTTAATGATTTCCATATCACCAATTTGATAGCGGCCTGCATCCAGTGCCTTTCTGCTACTTTTATGAGGTCGTCTCATCACAGGCCCTTTGGCTTATCTTTATGCCCAAAATGTGGACGTATCAACGTTGAATTCTAAGTCATTTTCTCACTGTTCAGTCGTCATAGCATTTGCCCTTAATACAAGCCTCTCCTAAATGGTTCTTTGCACGGACCTTTTTTAATAAACATGTATAAAAACGAGCACAAAGTGCACGTCATAGTTTTTGTCAACACAGTCACCTATTCAGTATCATATCAATGCTGAGCGACTGTCGAATGCCGAATCTACGCAGCGCTAGCGTCGCTTTAGTTTAAAAACAGTTGGTGCGCCGCGTCGACGTTTCTACGGCGCTCGAAAGGAGATTTGGGGGAAAAGGGTCTTCAGTACGAAACTATTCCCACCTCTCATTCCCACCGCTGCAACTCCTGTGTAGCCAGAATCTACAGCTTGACCGCCAATAAAAAACCAACCAATGAAGGTCAAGTTTGTCTCGGAGAAAGTTTGACTGTCATCAGACCCGCAACGAATTTAATCAGAAGAACATATGAGTTCTAAGTTAAGGTTCGACTTCCCTCCTTTGCAAAGCGGATGACAGGTGACAAAAAAAGGTTAGTAACCTTTAAGCAAAAAAGTATATGTCTGCCAAGCGTGGAGATTATGGCAAAACTTTCCACTAAAGTGGAGGAGGCTCATAGTCCAGCAGTGGGCTGTAAAGGGCTGTTGATGATGATAATGATGAAGCAAAGATATGCACTACGTAGGGTCCTTAGTCGACGACCTGATCGGCCGTTTGGTGTAGTGGTTCAAAAACGGACTACTATTCCGGAGGTAGCGGGTTCGATTCCCGCACAGTACAAACATTTGTGTGCATGAACATATTTGTTTGTATTGGACTGGGTGTTTTCTATGTATAATAAGTATGTATTTACAAAAAAAAAGTATTTCAGTATGTTTATATCCGTTGTCTAGTACCCATAGTACAAGCTTTGCTTAGTTTGGGACTAGAAGCGCAGTGTAAAATGTCTAAGGATATTTATTATTTATTTATTTATGATAAAGGTAGCAGACAGGCGCTGGATGCAGGCCGCTACCAACCGTGCGATGTGGAAGTCATTGGGGGAGGCATATGTTCAGCAGTGGACGTCCTGTGGCTGAAATGATGACGATGAAGGGTCCTTAGTAGTGGGTGATGTATAGACGCACCTTGTGCACAGTATCGAGACAGTGCAGCGCGTGCAAGCTCACGGGTGCCCCGCCGCCCACGCCGTCTAAAGCCGACGCTGCTGGCTCCACGCTGCACACGTTGCATAAGCACTCGCCTAGCTTCTCCACGTCTGCTGCTGTGAACCTGTGGGTAAAAGTAAGTAATTGAGTATTTGATTATAACCTTGGACCCCGATTTTCCTTAAGAGAATTCTTTAAGGAGATTAATATACTGACAGTAGCTTCACAGTTCATTTATGAAAACCTTTTATATGTTCGCAAAAATATAGAGCAATTTACTAGAAAGAGTGATTTACACAAGTTCAATACAAGAAACAAAAATAAACTTGCCGTTTCAAATTTCAGACTGCACAAGATTGGTAATTAATTTATGGGGAAATGTATTAAACTTTTCAATAAATTACCACAAACAGTAGTAGAATTGCCCATTCATAAATTTAAAGCACATATCAAAAGCACCTTGATGAAAAAGGGCTACTGTAAAGTTGATAATTATATAAAAGATAAAAATGTTTGGAATGTTTAACTACCTAGCTCGCATCAATACTTATGACTATAATACACTCGGCATCAAATAAATCGCACCTCCCTCAACAAGCACTTTTCAAACGTATACATCCCCACTTCCCACCAACATTGGTTCCATTTGAAAGCCTAGTTCTAATCTTCATTTCATTAGAGGAAACGTTTTTACCCCAAAAATGTGTCTTTAGAAGGATCCAGAGTCACTTCTTCAAAAAATAGGTAGTTACGCTTGAACCAACTTTTATGGTTATAAAACTGTTAAGTTGGGATTAATCGCTATCCATCTGTTAAAGAGGACACTTGTGATCATTATTTGGTTTTATAACCATAAAATTTGGTCTAATTGATCCCAGAGGTGAGCCCAAAGTGAGGTCTTTTTTCAAGACACATTTATGGTATATGTTAATAATATAATAAGAAATTAAATGTGTTTTTCTTTAAGGATATTTATTGGGCTTTCAAATAACACCAATATTATTGGGGTACCATGATTGTGTCAGAAGAAAATCTATAAAGTTCGCGTCGCGGAAGGTGCGGTTTATTTGATGTTGAGTATATTTTGTATATTTTAAAGTTTCTTGCGCTGCTTCTTCTCAGCACTGGCCCATTTATTGTCCCGAAGCAGTGGTAGGGTTAATATTGGGACGTGTAAAAGTGCTTTCTAAAAAACTATTTGCAAAAATAATTGAATTTTATGAATTTTTATGAAATCATTCACCAATACTTCGTGGTACATCTTTTAAAAAATCTGATAAGCGAACACAGTGCTATATATGACGCTATCAATCTGTGCACGTCAACAAACCGGGTGTTTGCCAGATAACAGCACATCAAACTAAACACAGTGGTGTCTCATCTCATTGCTATACAGCCTATGTTACAACAAAAATTTACAGACTGATGTGCTGTCGAGGTTCAAGGTCACCCAAAGGGCGATGGAGCGGGCTATGCTCGGAGTTTCCCTGCGTGATCGAATCAGAAATGAGGAGATCCGTAGGAGAACCAAAGTAACCGACATAGCTCGCAGAATTGCTAAAATCAAGTGGCAGTGGGCGGGGCACATAGCTCGTAGAGACGATGGCCGTTGGGGCAGGAAAGTTCTCGAGTGGCGACCACGGGCTGGAAGACGTAGCGTGGGCAGGCCTCCTACTAGGTGGACCGACGATCTGGTAAAGGTCGCGGGAAGAGCCTGGATGCGGGCAGCGCAGGACCGTTCATTGTGGAAAACCTTGGGGGAGGCCTTTGTCCAGCAGTGGACGTCATTTGGCTGAAACGAACGTGCTGTCGAGTATCGAGAGAATAACTTTAGAGCTTTAGAATAACCTGTACGATAAATGAACAGGGAATTGGACGCTATTCATAAATAATTCCAAGACACAACCTAGATAGGTTGAGGTTAATATTAAGCCCTATTTTTAATTATTAGATATTATTAGAATACTCACGTAGGCCTAATATGTTGGAAGATGAGCGGGAAGATCTGCACAAGAGTTGTGAGGAAGTTGAGAGACGGCGCGTACACTTCTATCGGCTTGCCGTCTTCTGACACTGCAACAAATATATCTAATTCAAAACCTTCATTACTACAATACAGGAAATTTCAGGATTATGTAGGTAAATTCGGGACAAAATATACCACTCAGAACTATCAGAAGCATATAAAAGTCACTTTTCGTTGCCGTGGTAGCTCAAATGTTAACAATAAAACTCATGCTAAAATAGACAAAAAAAAAATCATAAAACAGTCTTCAATAACATTAAAAATAACTAAAAATGCATTTTATCATTGGCTTTTCGTTTTAATGATGTTAATACAATGAGACACACAAGCCGCAAAACATTTTATTTTAATTGACCATAAAATTGTAAATAAATTCTTAAATAATAATTATTTATTAAATAATAATAATTATTTCTTACAAAAACAATCAAAACTTTAAAAATAATCAGAGTTGTATCAGCCAGCATGTGCCAGTACAGTAATAAGTTGACATCAGTTCAAACTAGATGGCGCTGTGCGTACTTGAATCGCGGTATCGAAGTGTTTTGGCGAAACTACTTAACCTCTAGCCGAACAAGTCACGGTTGACAAACAGACACTTGCTATAATACAATACATCCGCCCGCTTGTTTGACTAAACTCGCGATACAATTTTTTGAACGGAACCCAGTAGAAATGCTGGTTATCCGTGTATAGGCAATACAAATGTTGCGATTTGAATGTTTAGGTAATAGTGTGAGCCTAGCCTACCTGGAGAGTGTTTTCCTAGTACGTAGGGACTTCTCTTCCCGGCTCGTTGGAGGCTTATTTCCTAGACTGTCTAGCTAGGCTATAATGTAAGCCTACCTGGGGAGTAGTTTCTTAGGATGTAGGGGCTTATCACCCAGGATGCTTTTCTTCTACGCTGTATAGGGATGTTTTCCTAGAATGTATGGCAATACTGTGAGCCTACCCGGGAGGTGTTTTTTTAGAATGTAGAGGTATTTTATGGGCTGTTTTGAGTCTTATTTTTTATTTTTACAATTTCTAGTTTGTAGTATGAGCCCGGGAGCTGGTTTTCTAGGATGTAGGAGCTTCTTTTCTAGCTGGTATAGGGGTGTCGCTTCAATACTGTCTAGGCTGTAGTGTGAGCCTACCTGGGGGAAGGTTTTCTGAAATCTAGGGGCTTCTTTTATGGGCTGTTTAGAGGCTTCTTTTTTACACTGTCTAGACTGTAGTATGAGCCTGCCCGGGAGGTGGTTTTCTAAGATATAAAATCTTTTCTTCTCAACTGTATGGGAGCTTCTCTTCTCGCCTGTATAGAGGCTTCTCTCCAAGGTTGTTGAGACACTATCCTAAGACTATTCATCCTGTAGGTGCGTACCTGGCGGGTGGTTCCCCTGGGCAGCGGCGACGTGTCCCCAGGCGGCCCAGGCGGCGGCCCACACGCGGCGCTGCAGCTGGCCGCCGGAGCCCGAGGGGTCGCTCTCTGCGGCGCGCCCTGCCGCTGTTACTACCTCTTGGAAGGACTTTAGAAGGGCTTCTCTTCTGGGCTGTGTAGGGGCGTCTGTGATAGGCTTTATAGAGACTTCTTTCTTAGACTGTCTAGGCTATAATGTGAGCCTACCTGGGGAGGTGGTTTTCTAGTATGTAGTGGATTCTCTTCTAAAGCCTGGTCCGTGAGCACGTATTGCTGTCGCGACTGTGCGACGGGCGCCCACAGTGAGTGTGCGACCACGACAGCGACATAATTACGCGCGAGCGATAAGGATGGGTAGCTTGGGGTCATTGGACAAAATTCTACGTGCTCACGGACCAGGCTTTAGACTGTATAAGGGCTGTTCTTCTGGAATATTTAGGCAGTAGTGTGAGCCTACCCGGGAGGTGGGTTTTCTAGAATGCAGGGGATTCTTTTATGAGCTGTTTAGAGATTTCTCTTCAAGGCTGTATAAGGACTGTTTCTTCTGGAATGTTTAGGCGGTAGTGCTAGCCTATCTGAGAGGTCGTTTTTTTTGATGCAGGAACTTCTTTTTTAGGTCGTGTAGCGGATTCTCTTCTAGGCTGTTGTATGAGCCTACCCGGTAGGCAGTTGTCTAGAATGTAGGGGCTTCTCTTCTGGGCTTTCTAGAGACTTCTCTCCAAGGTTGTTTAGACACTTCTCTCCAAGGCTGTCTACTCTAGACTGTCGTACCTGGCGGGTGGTTCCCCTGGGCGGCGGCGACGTGTCCCCAGGCGGCCCAGGCGGCGGCCCACACGCGGCGCTGCAGCTGGCCGCCGGAGCCCGAGGGGTCGCTCTCCGCGGCGCGCCCTGCCGCTGTCACTACCTCTTGGAAGGACTTTAGTGCTGCCACTGATACCTACGAAAGGAATTAAAGGAGAAATAAAGTAAAAACCTACTTAGATACAGATTTTGATTGACTTGTAGACAGTAGGCTAGAGCAGGCCTGTTCATCTTCGCGAGTTTACATCGAAAACAAAACACGCACGATGGCCCACCTACAGGATACTATTCGACAAGGCCTCACATACGAGCGAACATTGACTCACGCACGCGTATTATTCTTGTGTATGATGGAAGAAAATAAAGAAAATGGTGTACTAAATAATGTGCAGTATTTAACTGCCTAAATAATAATAAAAACACAGAATGTACTTTTTTAAGTTGCCTGAGAGACACACTGAGAGGTAAATAAGTAGTTAATATTATTCATGATAATTCATGCTAAATCATGTATTTCCTCCGCCATTTTCGGCAGTTTGTCACCTCACGTCACATCATTTTACCGAAGTCAGCCCTATAGCTTCGGCGCAGTGCCGATCACTGACGTTTGTCAACAAAATGGTGCTTGACTCTTGAGACAGGCTAAATTACACCTTAATGTTAATGACATTGAGCATACATTTTTGTAAATACCTTCGCGAAGTAAAACTTCTGTACGTAGTACTTATTATTATTCTGTGGCTAGAGTGCCAATTTGTTTGTTTAACAGCTTTTTCCAGAAACGCTATTTCTAAAAAGTCATTCCATGAAATGTGAAACGAATGATTGGATCGGTAAAGAGTGGGTTATGACGAATCTGGCAAGTGACCGGACCTCACTGTATTGTGGCCTCAAATGGTAAACGCTAATAATATAGCATCATTGAACGAATAAATAAAATTCCACATAGGGTACAAAGTTAGTTGTCACAAAGTATTGTTTTAGGTTTCGAAAAGTATTTCGACGTTTAATTTTGATGGAACGAAAACGCTGCCCTTCTATCTCAGGTAACTACTTAGCAATACACTAAGCCTGAAATAATAATCTTCTTTTACCTCATGACTCCTCCGTAGCGCGAAGTCTGTGATGTATTCGAGCAGGGCTGCCCACGACCTGTTGAAGTCCCCAACTGTCGTCAACAGCTGGAACCGGGAGTGGAACACTCGCGACACCCCTGATAGTGTTAAAACCTAGAAAAATATGAATGCTTTATTACTTTTTATCTAATTTACATTTCACTGTTATAAAAAAAGACCAAATTTTATAGTATTTAGTTACAGCCATGTTGCTGTTAGTTTTTACTTTTTATGCTTATGAAGGTTAATTTTTAAATGAAACTAGTGCTGGTTTAATTGTTCAAATTCAAAACCAATGAAAACGATTTTCCTATGACGGTTAAAGATTTCTATAAATTCCGTTAAATGACAGTTTAACTTCCCCCGGGACAATCTTGACCTTCACTGGTTGGGTTTTTTGGCGGTCAAGCTGTAGATCCTGGCTACACAGGAGTTGCAGCGGTGGGAATGAGAGGTGGGAATAGTAAAATTATATCGGTTAAAGACGTAGATACATACCTGAGTTTCTGCCCACTGCTTCTGAGCTGTGTTTCTGGTGTGATGTATGAGAATGTGTTCGCCTGTATCCACCTTCTCAGAACTTGCAATGTTTGACTGGTTTTGAACCTATAGAACAAAATAAAACACTTATTATGATGATTTCTTTTCCGAACACAAGACATGTTGGATAGTAATTGTGGGTACATATTTATAGGGTTCAGCAGTAAATTCCAACCCATTTATTTTATAATTTATTATCGTATCGTTAGATTTTAGAAAGGAAAGAAAAATAAATAGTTGAAGAACAAGACGTACTCCATTGGTTGCTATCACTATACAACGTCCACTTAATAATTGTTTGCTATGGTAGATTCAGACCTGGTCCAGCATTGGGAACAGCACAGCCAGTAAGGCGCGCCAGGCCGGCTTGCTCAGCAGGGTTCCGTGCGCGCCGATACAGCTGAATAGTGTCTGGCTGGCCGCGCGCCGCACTGGAGCGCGGGGTTCCGTGCAAAGTTCACCTGGGAAAAAATACTTATTAAGAAACTCTACAGCAATATCAATCAAATCAAATAATTTCTTCAGTAGTCAGGCCAATTCCAGGGCGCTTTTACACATCCCAAATAAAGCTTGCCATACCATACCATAAACATTTGACATCAGTGTTTCTCAATCTGTCTTCTATTCCAAAAATTCCCAATGCTCCGGTAATTTCTTTAAAACGAGTTCACCATTATATTTGAACAGCCTCCCCAAACTGTATGGCTAATCCAAATCCTTCATTTGCCCCTGATCCTTAATGACGAATGAGAAAAATATGACCAGCCTACTCCCACTTCAGCTTGCTAATCTACTAGTAATTAAAAAAAAATTGTAAGCGCTATAGAGTTGTGTTCACAGTTACGTTAGAGCGTTAAAGCAAGGGGAAGAGGACAGGACATTAACTGGAGCTTATGCAGCGTGCTATGGAGTACTACGCTCGGTATTTCTTTACGAGATCGAATCAAAAATGAGGAGATCCGTAAACGAACTAAGGTCGCTGACATAGCCCGACGGATTAGCAAGCTGAAGTTGCCATTGTCACCCCTCATCCCTACCCATTGTTAGGGATGACGGCCGCAGGGGCAGCAACAGGCCTCCAGCAAGGTTTTGAAGTGGAGGCCACGTCCTGGAAAGCGCAGCGTAAGAAGTCCACCCACAAGGTAAACCGACAATCCCATTATGGTAGCAGGAAGGCGCTGAATGCAGGCCGCTACCAACCGGTCATTATGGAAATCATTGGGGGAGGCCTATGTTCAGCAGTGGACGTCCTATGGCTGAAATGATGATATGATGATGCAGACTTACTGAGCCGTATGTAGAGACACATCCACAGCTTATCGAGTGGTGGGAGCTCGGCGTGGTTGGGCACTTCGGGACACACGGCCGCGTCCTTTGCCAGCGCCACCGCCAGCTTGTCCCGGTTGTGGTACAAGTAGTCGGAGATGTTCCACTGTTGATACAATCACATGTTAATTTTTATGCAATAGGCCTTTGTCCAGCAGTGGACGTCTTTCGGCTGAAACGAACAAACGGGCAGAAAGATTTTGCGTTAGAATAAAATGCTGAGGAGACGTTGGTAAATCAGTCAATGAAGTCATTTTACCTGAACCTTGTCACCTGAACAGTCAATTTAAAATGAAAAATCATGCTTGAGTCATGGTGATTTAATTGCATCACCAGTCGATCTGACTTCCTCTTTATGTCAGTAAATATTTTTTAGGATCTATCTGCCATCAAATTCTTTCGATGCTGCCCTGAACACGCCATCGCAGATTGCGGGCTGTACAGAACGCCGGTTCTAAGCAGAGCTCAGTTCAGAAGTGAGCTCCAAAGTGGTAGACCAAAGACTGAGATTGAGCTCGTCCAGGCAGCGTGGCTAGGCGCAGCCCAGCAGGTCACTATACCTGCCCTCCATCTACGCTGTACTCGATCTCAATCTACGCTGTACCCCGGCCACCACCTTAGAATCGACCATAGGAATGCTGAGAGCCACTCACCATAAGCCCTACTGCTGTAAGGCTGATATTCAGCTCCTTGGTCTGCGAGGCGAAGGCAGCAGCGCAGCTTAGCACCCGGCAAAGACAGCGAGGCCCGGCGCAGCCCAACAGATCACCATCTACCCTGGACCCAGCCACATCTAAACTGGATCCGGCCTCCATCAAGACTGAACCCTGCCTCCATTTACGCTGGTCCCGGTCACCATCTACGCTGTACCCCGGCCACCACCTAAGTTGGAACCGACCATAGGAATGCTGAGAGCCACTCACCATAAGCCCTACTGCTTTAAGGCTGATATTCAGCTCCTTGGTCTGCGAGGCGAAGGCAGCAGCGCAGCTTAGCACCCGGCAAAGACAGCGAGGCCCGGCGCAGCCCAACAGATCACCATCTACCCTGGACCCAGCCACATCTAAACTGGATCCGGCCTCCATCAAGACTGAACCCTGCCTCCACCTACGCTGGTCCCGGTCACCATCTACGCTGTACCCCGGCCACCACCTAAGTTGGAACCGACCATAGGAATGCTGAGAGCCACTCACCATAAGCCCTACTGCTGTGAGACTGATATTCAGCTCCTTGGTCTGCGAGGCAAATGCAGCAGCGCAGCTTAGCACCCGGCAAAGACAGCGAGGCCCGGCGCAGCCCAACAGATCACCATCTACCCTGGACCCAGCCACATCTAAACTGGATCCGGCCTCCATCAAGACTGAACCCTGCCTCCACCTACGCTGGTCCCGGTCACCATCTACGCTGTACCCCGGCCAACATTGGAACCGGAGGTGTGGAAAGCCACTCACCATAAGCCCTACAGCTGTGAGGCTGATATTCAGCTCCTTGGTCTGCGAAGCGAAGGCAGCAGCGCAGCTTAGCACCCGGCGCAGACAGCGAGGCCCAGCGCAGCCCAACAAGTCACCGGCTACCACTTGTGCGCACTGGAATGCTGAGCGGATCAGCTGTTCACTGCGGGAAGAAACATTGTGGCTAATTATCAACAAAAGAATAAGCATAGAACTGGGACAAGATATATACAAGAATAACACAGACAACAGCACATCAGACTACACATTTTCGTTGCAAAATAAATTGCTCCTATTACATTACATTACATTACTCCACAGTGTAGTTTGATGTGTCGTCGCCTGTACTTTAAAGACCGCACTAAAGCCTGGTCCGTGAGCACGTAGAATTTCGTCCAATGACCCCAAGCTACCCATCCTTATCGCTCGCGCGTAATTATATTGCTGTCGCGACTGTGCGACGAGCGCCCGCAGTGAGTGTGCGTAGCCCGCAATGTAGCTTGGGGACATTGGACAAAATTCTACGTGCTCACGGACCGGGCTTTACGTACAAACCTCGAGGCGTCGAGTTCTACTTTTGAAGACTACATTGGCAGGCCTTAGTGAGCTCGGTAGGGCATAGCCTAGCCGAAACGCGAGCTCTCTGAAACAAGCCTTAAAGTTTTAATAGTCGAGAGCTCAAACCAATAGACTTCAAAAGAGCTCGAGTCGTAGAAAAAAGAAGAAAGACCAGGTGTGGTAACAAATCTGGCGTTATGAGCCGGTAGAAGCCATGAGGTAATCACCAATGTCTCAGGCAGTATGTACCTACCTGTGGTGGTCCAAGATGGCGGAGATGACGTCCATCATGAGCGGCCAGGCGGCGCCGAGCTGGTCTCCTAATGAGTGGAGTAGACGCGCGGCGCATTCCAACTGACGCGCGCGCACGTCACAATGACGCACTGAGCACAGTTCTGCTAGAGCAGGGCTTCCCTAACTTATTGGAGACGTACCCCCTTTCGACCATTCAAAACATTCCGCACCCCCCAAACGAGTCAAAATTATTTAGTGGTCGTATCGAGCAGTCTGGAATGCAATGCATTCTCTCAGCGGTCGCAGGTTTTTTATACTTAAGTACACAGATGGCCCGCGTCCCGCTTCAAAGGTCTTTGCCTGCCCTGGGGGGCACGCCTTCCTCTTTAGGAATCAAAGGCTAGAGGCTTTAGCAGGAGATACGGTATGTACCCACCTGTGGTGGTCCAAGATGGCGGAGATGACGTCCATCATGAGCGGCCAGGCGGCGCCGAGCTGGTCTCCTAATGAATGGAGTAGACGCGCGGCGCATTCCAACTGACGCGCGCGCACGTCACAATGACGCACTGAGCACAGTTCTGCTAGAGCAGGGCTTCCCTAACTTATTGGAGACGTACCCCCTTTCGACCATCCAAAACATTCCGCACCCCCCAAACCAGTCAAAACTATTTAGTGGTCGTATCGAGCAGTCTGGAATGCAATGCATTCTCTCAGCGGTCGCAGGTTTTTTATACTTAAGTACACAGATGGCCCGCGTCCCGCTTTAAAGGTCTTTGCCTCCCCTGGGGGCACGCCTTCCTCTTTGGGAATCAAAGGCTAGAGGCTTTAGCAGGAGATACAGTATGTACTCACCTGTGGTGGTCCAGGATGGCGGAGATGACGTCCATCATGAGCGGCCAGGCGGCGCCGAGCTGGTCTCCTAATGAGTGGAGCAGGCGCGCGGCGCATTCTAACTGACGCGCGCGCACGTCACAGTGACGCACTGAGCACAGTTCTGCTAAGGGCTCCAGCAGGAGACGCTGCCGAGCCTGCGAATCATCATCAAAAAAGGGTGTTATTCTTAAAATGCCGTGGTGATTTGTGAAAGTTTACAATACCCATAGATGGAGAAAGTTAATGGTGTTAAGTGAAATAAAGGACGTCGCACATTTATCGTTTAGGCGCGATTGGTCCAATTCGCTATTGGTCCAATTACGAATTCACTTTTTTCTGCAATAGTAGTAAAAGTTGAATAACCGCCTTATTTCTTTCATTTTGGTTATCCTTTTATTTTGGACCAATTACGAATTGGACCAATAGCGAATTGGACCAATCGCGCCTAAACGACATTTATCAACCCGGAATGGGATCGTAACCGTATCATCTGGAGGCTGTCAGTATTCCTTGTTTGTACACTTCAGTCAATCCTGTTCCAGTTCTACGAAATTCCGCACGAACATCAATCACATGAGTCTCAAAATCATCAGGTAATTTTAGTCTCCAATGCAGAAGCACGACCCCATCCAATTTGTCAGAAGCAAAGAAAGAAATGGACGACAGCGCTGAACGCAGGCCGCTACCAATCGATCAACATGTAAAGCATTGGGGGAGGCCTATGTCCCTATGTTCAGCAGTGGACGTGCTATGGCTGAAATGATAGTGATGAAAGAAAGAAATCTTCTACCTCTAGAGGCCTACAATCATCTATCCACCTCTAGAGACCTACAATCCACACACTCCCAGACGGTGAAGGAAATATTTTGGAGAAGATATTTTGAACTTGAATTTTAGTGGTATAATGCTTACCTCAGTAACCAAATTGGGATTATTGTGATGGTATTGGAAAGCTGCCTGGACCAAGTACGTGATAGCTTCCACTCCCCATTCCCTCATCCTTATATGGGGGTGTTGGCAAACCTAAAAGCAAAAATAGTTTTTAAGCGATTTTCGACGTTATTCTTCAGGACATAAAAGGTAAATTATATTGAAACATACTTCCAGAAGGTGATTGGTTATAGGCCTCCACATTACTTCTATCCTGTGCATGTTGGCTAAACCAGTTTCTAATAGCTTTGCGACGGCGAAGAGAGATGGTTCCTGTAAGACAAACAAAAAATGTAAACAACCAAAATATGTACGTATATTATCATTTCTGTTTTGGTAAAAAAGCAAGGATATTTAGATGACTTCTATCTAGTCTAATTCTAGAGAACGGTTACTAAACATGTACCGTAAATCTACTATATAAAAATAAGTCGGGTTTTCCTCCCTGACGCTATAACTCCAGAACGCACGAACCGATTTCCACAGTTTTGCATTCGTTGGAAAGGTCTCGGGCTCCGTGAGGTTTATAGCAAAGAAAATTCGGGAAAAGGGGGTAAAACGGGATCCACGCGTACGAAGTCGCGGGCGGCCGCTAGTCACTTACAAAATAGCATCTGTAAAAAGTACATGAGATGTCAAAGTGTTAACCTTGATACGCCGTTTGTACAGTCAGCGTCAAATAGTTCGTGGCACGAAAAGTAGCCAAAAAGTTCGCAACACGTCTTTGTTACAATTAGAATAAGGTTGTGTTGTAAAATTTTAGGCCACGAACTAATTGACAATCAATCATGTATAAGTCACATTTTCAAACATCACAAAAAATTTCGTTCTCGAAAGATACATATCAGCCTTGCTACATTCTCACCCTGTTAGAATAAGCCAGCTCCATCGCTTCATTGGACAGCTTGCAAAGCGCGTCGATTAGGTGGTGTAACGCCACGTCATCCAGGTTCTTTGACGACTCGAATACTCGGGACAACATGGCCGATAGGGCTGCGGATAAAAACTCATTTATTCAAGTAGGTTTTTAAAAAGCACTTTTACACGTCCCCGTATTAACCCTACCACTGCTTCGGGACAATAAATGGGCCAGTGCTGAGAAGAAGCAGCGCAAGAAACTCAGTCTATATTGTCAGCCTCTTTTTCAAGGGTGAAATAATATTATGGTTTGGCATAATCTATGGTAATGATAAGTTCGGGACTATTTGTTAGTGGTTTTTGGACCATTAGTTCTATGGTTGGTTCGGTATGCGAAAGAAAGTGCTCGTGTTATGAAATTCGCGCAATGAATGCTCGCATTCCAAATTTTTCTAACGAGTACTGGTTAATGTAAATGTTTTTGATAGTAATAAATAAAAGGACATGAGCACTTGTTTATAAGAACATCAGATCATCAGCTACAGTTCCAGCTACCCGTTTCCGTTTTTTCTCTCGCTTTAATTAAATGGCGACTCTTTGAGATAGAACGAGACGAAATGACGGAAATGGGTAGCTTTACAAGCGTAAAACAACGAAGGTTTTTAAACTAAACTATTTTGGATAAATAAATCTTAAATTAACATATAACAAAACAAGTAGTAAAACCTCGAATACAAGAAATTACAAACCACAGAGTCTGTATGTCCCTCTCACACTAACAGCATATTGAATACCCGAGACATGACAACATCTGATGTCAAAAACTTCAAAACTTTTATACATTTAAGCCATTTAGGCCATACTTATAAGCGCCCCCTGGTGTGACAAAAACAAAACGTGTACATCAGGCAACATTAGAGCAGTGTCAAACAATAAAACAACAGTGCGACAGCCGGACAACACAAATAATATACAGTAGTGACGTATGGTGGCACTGGTGACATCTATATTATGTAAAAAACTAAAATGAAATCTTCTTTTTCTTTTGTTTAATGGCAATTAAACCTCTGAGAGGTTTATTATTGCCAGTGTCAAGTGGAAAATGATAAATCGAACGCTACTATAGTTAGACAACACTGAAGTTTCCCAAATATTTACAGGAAGGCGCTACTATCAATTATTATTATTAATAGTTCCGATTCTGCCACTTGGCGTTTCACGCCCGTATTCACAAACATTAATATGAGGTCTCACAGTGCTCGTGGACGCACAGGGTCACACACAAACCAATCACAGAGGTCTATTCAACGCTGTGCATTCGATTTGCTGCTTCACTTAAGCAAGTATCGTTTGTGAGTACGGGCGTCAGTATCGTTGTATTTTAAATCGAACGATACACCCGTTCAAAATTACTAAACGTCAACAATGTCACCACACGCACACTGTAACGGTCAGCAAGCCCGCCCCAGTGCGAAACAAGCTGATTAGCCGTATCTATCGCGGCCATTTTGAAAACGACAGACTTAAGTTTTTCAAAATGGCCGCGTCGAGTGTAAAATGTCACTGTACCACTCATGACTCCGAGTGACTCGGCCACGGGGACTTGCTGACCTGCGAACGATTGTTAGTGTACACGTTACACGCAAAATAATTGCACTAAATACATGATAATGACAGTAAAACATATTTGCTACACAACATTTTAAAAATAAGTTGCTGGAAAGAAGAGTTAAGAGGAAATTTTGTAGTGTTTGGAGCGGTCTTTTCATTAGCGATTTGATCGACAATCGGGAATTTGACACGAGTATTTTGCCATCTTTTATACGAGCTGCCAAATCGGACCAATCACATATTTGTTATTTATTATGAATGCATGTAATTATTATGAACGATTCGAAACTAAAAAGCGAATAATATGAAAATTGACGATGATCTCGATTTTCAGGACTAAATTATTATTGTTGTTCAATGTTAAGCGTCATATTTGTACTGTTTTGAGTTATCAATAGATGGCGCTGCGTGTAGGTTAAATCGCGGTATGTAAGTTTTTGACGGCCCATACATATAGCTAAATTTGGTTTGGGAGAAGTGAGGCTTTTTGGGACTTGTACAATTGTATTTGCATTTGTACGATGAAGCCTGGACTGTAAACTGTTTGTATACCTATTACAAATAAATAAATAAATTTGATTTAAATGCGAACAGCGGCCTAGTTCGTGTCTTGAAAGATCTGAATGGCCTGAATGAATCTGGCCAGAATGTCTATGCCTTCAGTACTCACCAGGCAGGTCGGCCATGACGGCAGACGTGCTCATGACGGCGTTGGCGTCTGCACTCGCGCGGCTGGCCTTCATGCTGCCGCCGGTAGACGGCTTCAGGCCCAGGATCCACACCTGAGGGGAAAACGTAGTCACATTATAATTATTACATATTACTGATGCGATTGCTACCATGTACCTTAATTTTGAGCGTGTTTTTTGTTGCAAGCGCCATGATCACGGAGTAAATTATAATATTACTAGCTGACCCGGCGAACTTCGTACCGCCTTAGCGTAGACATTTTCTTAATATTTTTTTCCGTAAGAACCATCCTTGGACTTCCACAAACATTAAAAAAAAAGAATTATCGAAATCGGTTCAGCCGTTCACACGTGATGCCGTGACAACGCGAAACGGGTTTCATTTTTATATATATAGATTAGTGACCATGAAAGTTTAAAACAATATGTAGTCACATTATATCGTTATTTTCAAAGGAATTCTGTCACTGCTGGAAAAAGGCCTCCCTTACGGATTTCTACAACCTACAACGCCCGGCTGTATTTTTATGTCGGAAAATACTTTTTTACTGGATGAAGCGGACGACCAGTGGGTTATTTGGGACTCTCCTCGCCAGGGACTGCTCACTTAAGTCCGAAGGGCGGGTCTGATACACTTAAACCCTACGGTGTTCACCGGAGTCCAATGAAACGGAGTCGTGAGTTATTATAAATTGGACATTCGTCTCCAGCTCCGTTTCAGACTAGGGCTCGCTTTCGAGCGAGCTACTTCAGTTCGAGGGGAATAACGACACTGCTACACTATCAGCATTTAGGTCTTCGAACTCCTCTTATGTTCTTCTGGCTAATTTCGTTGCGGGTCCAATGACAGTTTAACTTTTCCCCGGGACAAACTTGACCTTCACTGGTTGGGTTTTTATTGGCGGTCAAGCTGTAGATCCTGGCTACACAGGAGTTGTAGCGGTGGGAATAGTCTCGTTATCAGCATTTAGGTGTTTCTCATGATCTTCACCAGATCGTTGGTACACCGAGTGAAAGGCCTGCTGGATGGTGTCTCCGTCGCCTTATCGCGTCACGTGATGACGTCACCAGGTTCCGTGACGTAACCAGGTTCACTCTTACCAGGTGCTGCAGCGTGGTGAGCACCGGCAGCCAGGCCTGCTGGATGGTGTCTCCGTCGCCTCGTGGCGTCACTGGTGACGTCACCAGGTTCCGTGACGTAACCAGGTTCACTCTTACCAGGTGCTGCAGCGTGGTGAGCACCGGCAGCCAGGTCTGCTGGATGGTGTCTCCGTCGCCTTGTCGCGTCACGTGGTGACGTCACCAGGTTCCGTGACTTCACCAGGTTCCGTGACGTCACCAGGTTCACACTCTTACCAGGTGCTGCAGCGTAGTGAGCACCGGCAGCCAGGCCTGCTGGATGGTGTCTCCGTCGCCTCGTCGCGTCACGTGGTGTCGTCACCAGGTTCCGTGACGCCACCAGGTTCACTCTTACCAGGTGCTGCAGCGTGGTGAGCACCGGCAGCCAGGCCTGCTGGATGGTGTCTCCGTCGCCTCGTCGCGTCACGTGGTGACGTCACCAGGTTCCGTGACGCCACCAGGTTCACTCTTACCAGGTGCTGCAGCGTGGTGAGCACCGGCAGCCAGGCCTGCTGGATGGTGTCTCCGTCGCCTCGTCGCGTCACGTGGTGACGTCACGAGGTTCCGTGACGTAACCAGGTTCACACTCTTACCAGGTGCTGCAGCGTAGTAAGCACCGGTAGCCAGGCCTGCTGGATGGTGTCTCCGTCGCGCTGCGCTGCGCACAGCAGCGCCCTCATAGCTGTCACGTGGCGTGACGTCACCATCACGAACGACTGCTGTTGACCTGCAATACCACATGGTTTTAATATGGTCAAGAGTTTGAAAGATATCTTAATAGTTCTTGGAATGATTCTGATGAAGCTTTTGTATTACAAAGAATCAGGATTTGGTTGAAAAACAATTTGTCGCTTCATAGATAAAAAACGGGGAAAGTTCTGTGATGGTTTTCCGGAAGAATTTCAGCCAAAGGACGTCCACTGCTGGAAAAAGGCCTCCCCAAATGACTTCCGCATCGCCTGGTTGGTAGCGGCCTGCATCCAGCGTCTTGCGGGTGGACGTCCTACGCTGCGTTTTCCGGTACGTGGTCATCCCTCCAGAACATTGTTGCCCCATCGGCCTTCAGTTCTGCGTACGTGTAGTAAAAGACGTCCATCGCTGCCCGCATCCAGGTGCTTTCCGCGTGTTTCTCTAGATCAGTGTTTTTCAACCTTTTTCATGACACGACCCTCCCACCGTTTAGTGTGAAAAAATAGTTGGCGACCCCCCGACCGTTCGCGTTTTTTTTTCATGCATTTTATAATGCTACAAAGATGTTTGTAGGGACCGAATACTTCAATCCATATAACATTTTCATGCATTCGCATAATTAGATTTCGGATAAATCTGTCTTTTTAACTAATGTTTTTTTTACTGAGGTAGTTTTTAAGACCTCTCGCGCCCCCCTAAAGAGGCTTCGCGACCCCCCAGGGGTCCAAAGGTTGAAAAACACTGCTCTAGATCGTCGGTCCTCGGCGTGGAAGGCTTGCCCCAAAATTGTTTTAAGACACTTCACTCACCCGTGGGCAGCGAGGCGGACGGCAGCGGCGTGCCCACCCAGACGACCTGGTGCCGGTAGTCGGGGTCGGGCGGCGGCGGCGGCTCCCTTCGCCAGGGGCACGGCAGCGCGCCCAGGGCTGGCACGCAGTATTGAGCTGGTAAGGCTGCACGACAGAGAGCGCTGATGCACGCGTCGCGGCCTACTGCGTGACCCACCTGATGGTGGAAAATGCAACTGATGATATGGGTATTCCCTTTCCAAAATGTAATATTGAACGGTCATATACTGATCAAAATGTTGGCGAAAATGAGCAAAAACTTTGTAAGAGGTTTATTCGCAAACTGCGTTACGAGTACATGAACTAGCAAATATTTAAACTTTCTGAAAATTAGTCCAAGAGTTCTGTTGCGATACATTAAACTCATCGATGATTTGTAGTCTGAAATGTCTGAATGTTTGAGAAACCCTTTCACAGAACTAAACACCAGTAAATTTCCCACCTCTCGTTTCCACCGCTGCAACTCCTGTGTAGCCAGGATCTACAGCTTGACCGCCAACAAAAACCCAACCAGTGAAGGTAAGTTTGTCCCGGGGGAAAGTAAAAACCAGTAAGTTGTTGATATATTGTGTCTATTATCTAAGTCAGACTTGTCTACTCTCGATTCCACCTGATGATTCTCATTTCCATTGATCTTTTTTTATCATTTCCACTACCTACTCACTTTTCCACTAACTCTGGCGAGGCACTGTATGGCTCGCAGGATGTTCTCCAGTTCCCCAATACTCGCTTCGGCCAGAACTGAGAGGCCCCACACAAGCCCGCACCACGATGATTTCAATAGCTGTCAACAGAAAAATATAGCTGTAACATAGTCTAAGGTATAAGAAAACACACCGACACTATTGTGTAGGAAAACAGTATAGTCCCACGATTCTGAAACGTCAAGTTAGTAGCTCCATACTGACAACGTCATAGTTGAGACGGTTCATTGTTGGACATCTATCTATATCTGGAAAGATTTATTAACTGTATCAAATATGTAAAACTAAACGACATTCTACCGGTGCCATTTCACTATGTGAGGATAGTTGGATGTAAAATTCTTTCACAATAGCATATGATTCTCAATTTATCAAAATGTGGGTGGGGCAATTTATAGCCGCGCCCACAAGTAATGTTATCTCACTCACCTGTAGTTTCAACTGCATCTCTTTCTCGTCATCCTCATCTGCTTTTTGGAGAACATTGGAGTTCTGGTCTGCTTCACCATTGAGGCCATTGTTAGTGACATCTTTCGCATCACCTTTGGATTCTGATTCTGTAACATACACATCTTTTAGCAATCTATAAAATATGTTTTAAATTAGACTGCAGTGTAGACTGTTGTTTATTTATACCTTTTTGATTATTTCCGTTTTTATTCGAGTTCACTTCTGTGTCGGTTTCGCTTTGGCCATCTTCGTATATTTCTTGTAACCTGAAAATTATTTATTAAGTTTGTAAATTAGTTGTAAAAATCTTTGAATTGTAAATAAACAGGGTGTCCACTGCAAATGTTCGAAAAAATTCCCTGACTTTTCCCTGACTTTCCCTGACAATTTTTTCAAAATTCCCTGACCAACTATGTAACAGCGNAATATCTATTATTGTGTTAACAACGTCACTCATTACTAAAAGATTGAGGCAATGATGGTGTAACTTGAAAAGCATTATGTGAAAGTAATAATGTATGTAGTAATTCCGGGAAAGCATGTTTGCATAGGTGAAAGTGTAGATGCGTGTAAAGTTTAAGTTGTGTTGGAAGTTGAAAGTGTATGTGTGGGTGAGTTTGAAATTGTTGGTGGTAGTGAGTGTACGTGTGAGTTTGTTTTTGTTCATGATTGTGTTTGGATATGAATAATGTGTGTGTTAGTATGTACGTGTTAGTGTCGTGCCGGGTGAGGAGTGGTGTGTTCACTGAGAAATATAAATGACAAAATATAAATAGATTTTCACAGTATATGATAAACAGTCCGCAAAAATTATACAAAATACCTAGTCTGTCACAGAAAAACATCGCATTGGATACATAATTAACGGTGTAAAACAAAATAAAAATAAAAAAGGGTTGAACCTTTCTAGCCGCTACTGTGAAGATGCCTCCCGCGAAGAAGGTGAGGTAGTAGCCGGGGTAGAAGCCGTGCCACACGGCCGACAGCGCGTAGACGCGCGCGGTGCGCCACGCCGCGCCGCCGCGCTCGTACGCTACGTTCCGAAGCCACGCGTTCGTGTTTTTGTTCCAGCTGGCCAGTCCCATGCGGAAGTTTTGCGCAAACTGCCATCGAACACATTTATCTTTTAAATTATTTGCACACAATAAACGCACAAAGGTCGCATTGCATTTGAAAATTAATTGTTTTGTTAAATATTTCGCTCTCCACTCTGCATAGAACCTTAAAGTAAGAAACAAAACAAAGCAATATTACCTCGAATCCAAACACATCTATGTTGCTCATTTTGTCCCACTTGGGTTCGCCATCATTGTCGTAGCCGTTGAAACCCATTCCGGAATTGTTGCAAATGGCTTCAGAGAGCAACCACGCGTGGTAATACTTGCAGCGCACAACTAGGACGCAAAGGTGCGCGTACCACAGTAGGTACAGCGCTGACCACGATCGGGAAACTTCAGATGTGGGGTCATTTAATTCTGTAATACCAACACATAATTCATTAGAAAGAACTTAAACAATTACAAAATAGAAATTCTGGAGTAGGTTATAGACCGCCCTGTACACAATAAATTAATTATATCCATTCCGTGTTAGCGAATGTAACTATTATAATTGAAAGCAAACACAATTATTTCGTATTCGTAAACACCGCGAGTATTAAAAAAAGTTCTTTGAAGTTTCCCAAAAACGCTCCATACAAACGACCGCTTATGGCCTTGCTTACACATACTTTTTCAACTGTATTGTTGTTATTATTTATTTAACCGAAAACAGGTTAGTTACATCATATAAAAAAGTCAAGAACGGCTGGACCGATTTTAACCTTTGGAAGGCAACAGGGGTGACTGGTCACCCCACCAGTTCAAAAAAGTCTTGATACGATTAGTTGCTGATGTTGTGTCTTTCTGTCGTTTGGTCTATTCTCTAATTGGAGGGAAAGCTATCAGTCGCTTTCGTCAACATATAGCGTTAGGTTCCTGTTTTTGATATTTTGACACTGCTGGGGTGACTCATCACCCCTGTTGCCTTTTACGTATACTTTATTTTTTCGTGTTGCTAAAGTAAATGATTGGTTTTGGAGTAAAAATTACTTTGTTTTCGGATGGTCAAATCGAAAAATACATTTATAGACTTGCTGATGTCAATTCCTATGACAAACGCTGTTCAGATGATAATAAGGTTTCCAAAATTGAAGATAATATCACAGTTCAGTCGGAGGAGGAAGACTTTATTTCCATTAGCGAAAAATTGTTACGACGATGAAGTTCTACTAGCACAATTCGAACATAACGTGCTACTATGTAAGAACGGACATGTTTGGTCTTCTTGGTTCCATCACCTTGGAGTCAAACATCACGACGAAATATAGTAACTGTTGCGAGAGATACGAGAATTATAGAGCAATTACACATACATTCTAAATATGAACTAGGGACCTCCTGAGGGTGCACCTTTAGCAAAGTTACAGAAGCAGGCAAGGTGAGTGCTGTGTCAAAGAAAACTGGACAAAAAAGTTAAGACATCTCGTATAAAATGTCAACTACCCTCATGCCCTCAACATCGCAAAGATATTTGCTTTAACTGTGATTAATGTTAAAAAAATATTTATTAAAAATATATAAACTGTTAAATGAAAGCATTTTTAGTTTTATAATGAAACAAAGTAATAGATCTTATCATTAATTAGTTTGATTTTTCATCACAATGCTATTTATTTTAAATTGAATTTGTGGGGTGACTGGTCACCCCTGTTGCCTTTTACGTATACAAAAAAAGTGTTGCCTGCCGAAGGTTAAAGATCTGATTTGTTAAATTCGTCTCCGCTCTGAATAGCAGAATAACTACTAAAATATCGGAAAATATTACAATCCGGAATTAGAATGTTTCAAAATAAGTAGGACGTCTCCAGTTCTTGTGTTCTAAAAATAATATCAGCTTTGCTCTTTTCTCAGAAATGCATACGGATTCACACAAGGACCACCACTGCGTTATTATTTTTGATGCAATGTTATAGTATACCTATTCCCACAGAATAATAATAAGTACTACGTACTATTCCTTCTTTTTTTATAGTAGTATTATTATTGTAAGACAATAAAATATACTGACCTTCTAGAACTGACAGTGAATATTTCTTTGCGAGTGTCAGATATAGCACCGCCGCCGCAACGGACCCCACTACCTTGTAGAAGACAGCACGCCGCGGGGATGGCTCCGCACCTTGTTTGTCTTTATCAGTCTGTAAATCGAATGATGATTATTTTACAAACTGGCATAAATATTTTGTTTACCCACGCCCACAATAATTAAAAAGGGTATCCTACTAATATTATAAATGCGAAAGTTTGGATGTCTGGATGTCAGGATGTCAGGATCACGCAAAAACTACTGAACGGATTTTGATGAAACTTAACAGTATTATTGTTTATAACCCAGAATAACATATTTTATAGGCTATAATTTATGACGATCTGTGACAAACTAAATTTCACGCGGGTGAAGCCGCGGGCAAAAGCTAGTAACTTATAAACCGAATAATTTCAGCAAATATAAATATCAGTTCTATATTATTTATCCTACTTAAATTACGCCATCATCGAAATTGTTTTGAATATAATTTTATTATTTGAGAATGCATTTCGTGCCTATTTCAATATTTTTGAAATGATAAAACTATGTTACAATCTCTCCTGTTAGGTACTTAATTAGTACTGTGATAAAAAACGAGTAAACACTTGTTGGTTTTAGATGATGGAAACTGCAACAGGGTGTCCACTGCAAATGTTCGAAAAAATTCCCTGACTTTTCCCTGACTTTCCCTGACATTTTTTTCAAAATTCCCTGACCAACTATGTATACANACGACGGATACCAATGTCAAATGGGATGTAAACTGAGATACCCACAAAAAAAAAAAAAAAAAAATATCCTCAACTAACAGTGCGTAAACTGGCATCACCGTACGTGATACTACATAGTTCTTATTTCTAATCTCGAGGACAAAGCACGAGCATAATTAATAAGTTAACCGACGGAATAATTCAAACTCTTGTTTTTTACCCAGGAAATATCGTTATTAGCAACCGGTTGCTAAGACAGGTAATAGCCCCGCGGGTCTCTAATCAAGCAGCAGCTTGTGTACGCACGGCCTGTCGAGTACATCAACGGTGTAGGATGATAAACAATCTGCTATGCATAGCGTCTGATAGGGTCAATCGACGTCACCCAAATGCGACAGGCTCGTTCATCTCTTGGAACAGGCACTAAGTCACATTAATTAGCTTAATGAGACACTGTTTGTGAGTAATGATTGAACGTATCTGTTCAGGAGTGGATGGAATGGAACACTTGAGTGTAAGGTAATGTAAAGTGGCAACTGTCTTAATATTATACTCGTAGTAATAGACACTCCGCAGACTGTAGACTTTTGTCAGCCGATACTGTTAATTTCTGTTTTTTTTAAAGAAGAAGATACTGTTAATCAATATGAACTTGTATGGAAGTGCGCAAATTACACCAATTTGGTATCGAATCCTCATACAAATTGGAAGCCGACCTAACTATCGGCCGACTTAGTCTGTAGTCTGCGGGGTTCTAAAAAGAACAAACATTCGCTAATTCCAAAACTACGAAGGCCGTCGGAGGTTTAACTAATACCTGTTAATTGATAGTACCCAGTTACTCATTACTTACTTCTCGAACCTTAACTTGGAACTCCTCGTATGTTCTTTTGATTAATTTCGTTGCGGGTCTAATGAGTTTAACTTTCCCCCGGGACAAACTTGGCCTTCACTGGTTGGTTTTTTATTGGCGATCAAGCTGTTAGTAGATCTTGGGTACACAGGAGTTGCAGCGGTGAGAACGTTCAGTCCCTTAAGAAGTTACTCATTACTCACTTACGCTAGTTCAGATCAGAATGTAGCCAAGTTGAAGATGCTCTTGTTTTTACGCATGGCAAATGCAATGTACTTCACACATCCTACTTTGTAGGCTTCAAATAATGTGATCTCTAACAAAGTTACCTTGGCTCGGAGAACATACAACGTACAAAATTAATCAAGACTTCCTCAACAATATTAAACCTGACGTCTGCACTAGCTAGGTTTGCCACGATGAATGCACCGAGCGAGACATACGCCAACTCGATTAGGCTAGATTAACCATGCGGTATGAACTGGGCCACGGGAAGATTCAGGTTTTACATGTTGAGTCGCTAGCATGTGAAGCAAACAAAGAAAGACCAATTTTTCTATCGTCATAATCATCTATTTTCGATTTTGGATCAGTTTATAAATCAGTCAGTCAATAAAACCCGTTACCTTTATGTTAAAAAAGTAAGTAATAAATGGCGTAAACTTTGTCAGGGCCTCGTAAAAGGTAAGAAAATATAACTTTTCGACCATTTGCTAACGACCAAATTAATATATTATTTTTATTACACCTCAAAGGATATACCTACAATCGTACACTAAGGTTAGGTTGCACCATCTTACTTTAGACAAAAGTAAAAAATCTGTCAATCTCCATACAAAAAACACCGGATATCGTTATAGTTACGGTCAAAGTTAGGTGGTGACACTCAGCTTAATTGTTACTTTTTTACTAACCAGCTTAGCCATAGACATACATACATCTGCAGTTGATTAGTCCACAAACTGCAGTACAAACTAGGTCAGCGGGATTTTTATGAAGTTGCGACCTCACCTGCGTTGTTAGCAGAGTTGAGCTGTCAATTTTAAAAGCTTAGTTGAAGTTAATTCCAGCTGCCTGACCGGTCTGTCCATTGATTAAAAGTTTTGACTTCATTCATTAGTCTGGTATGTAAAGTTAGCCGAGCCAATTTTTAGTCGGCTTTTGTTTTTTGTTGACTTTTTTAAACCTTAGTTGGAGCGGCAGATGGTTTTAATTCGCAAGGTTCTGTCAATTAAAAAATAAACATATAAAAATACTGTGTTTTAAAGTTAAATAGACCTGTAAACAACATAGCTTTATCATGACAGCACATTGAGGCTGAGTTGCACCTACTTACTTTAAGTTTAACAAACGTCAAAAATCTATCAAACTCCATAAAAAATACCTGTTACTGTTATCGTTAATGAAAGTTGGTGCAACTCAGCCTGAGGATTTTCTCCTGATGTGAAAATATCTCAGAATAATTTTCAGCAACTGAACTGAACCCAAACCTAAATATCAGATATTAAATTTTAAATAACCCTTTAAAATTCAAAAGCCAAATCCTAAGGCTAATTAAAAACAGCTAACAATAATTAATAAGCTGAAATGCTGTAAAGGCTGCTTTACGACATTCGTATTGAAGTAATACGGTGTAAGGCACAACAATAGAAGTATTGTTCCACGCTAACTAGGTTGGCCACGATAAATGCACTGCTCGAGACACGTCCCGAACTTGATTAATCTTGATTAGCAGCTGTGTGGAACGGGAGACGTTTATTTTTAATATCTCGGTTGTAGTGCGACAGATGTTAGTAATATTTGTAGTTTCAGAAACATAATATACTTTTTTAAATCCTAAACTTCTAAAAATATTAAATCTTTGTAAAAATTTAGAGATCCTGAAAACCGTTTGGGATGTATGAAGCTCTATACCTACATTTTACAGAATATATATATATTTTTTTTGCTTTAAGTACCTACCCTTAAGTAACATAAGATAATTATGTGATTTGTATTTTTTATGAGTATGTGAATTAAGTTCCTGTTTACTATCTATTGGAAAGTGTGTAAAAATGATTTTATAAATTAACGTGAATGCCAGAAATATGCCATTATCACTGATGTTAATGCGTATGTGTTTTTTGCTTTAGAAATAACCAACTTTACTATGAACGAATATTATGACGCGCTTAATCCACTGCACTTTAAATCCAAAACTATATCTCGCTATAAAATATTGCAGCAACCAAATAACTCACACATATGACGTAAGATAGAGCCTGGAATTTATCGCAGTCCCTAAATCTCGCTCTGGGCGTGTTCTAGAACAAAAGCCGTTTGCTATTCAACACGCGAGCTTGTATTAAGTGTGGTTTAAGTTTAAACTTTAACATTCCAGGTCATATTTAACATTTAAGCAAAGGTTTGTCACCCCTGTCAAGCTGAAATGTGAATGAATGCAGGTTTTTCATTTATTATTTAACCCTTGATAGTCCAAGTGGTTATGGACTTTTAAGTTTTGTTCTTACGAAATTTTGAATCAAAGATATAAAAAGAATGGAACTTTTGAATGTAATGTTAACTCTATATTTATTTAATCTTGTTTATTAGATCTTATAAGTAACTAATTGAATATAAGTTTAAATTTTTTAATGGACGTGTAATATACCTATACATGTAACAAATACTAAAAAATATAAGCATAAGCATGATAATAATATTTCAGGAATCAGGATAGATAGAACAGGAGCGCTTGATTTTCGGTATTATAGGTCAGGAAGGGAAACGGGAGTGGGGCATCTGAAAACAAGTAAAAGATAATTAAGTAAGTAAAAGATAAGAGGAAAAATCAGCCAAAATTAACTCGCAAAGCAAACATAAACTTTGGATATGAAAGTTTATTAGCTAGCTAATAATAATAAATCATTATAATAAACAACAAAATTACAATATGCTAAAGGTTGCATATGATCAGATAAAGGGTTAAGTTTTAACAAAAACCGGACAACTTTTTACTGATAAGCCAAAAAGAAAACATAAAGAAAAAATAAACTTTTCCTAACAATGTTTTCCATATAAACAGGTTGTTATAATGCATGATTTCCCAAGGCTGTTGGTTAAGGGGTGAAAGTTGGTACGTTATTTTTGCCCCATTTAACTGAGCCGAGGCAACATTAAACACGATTTATATTTGTTCAAACACAATAAATGTACAGACAAAGGCACGTCAAGGTTAACACTGTAGATCTTACGAAGTTGTAATAAGCGCTAAGTTACAGTAAAACTGTTAAGTCTGATGAGCTGTTTTGGAACAAACACTTTGTAACAAAATCACACCTCTTAGGCTGAGTTGCACCACCAAACTTTGACCGTAACTACGACGATAACCGGTGTTTTTTGTATGGAGTTTGACAGATTTTTGACGTTTGTCAAAGTTAAAGTAAGATGGTGCAACCCAGGCTTACATTTGTCAAAATGCCACATTGTACGGCTTTGTGTCGTTCGTCATTTGTCGGTGGGAAAAACATAAATTGAATGTAATTTGACGTGGAAGTCATTGTGGGAGGCCTATGTTCAGCA